ATTAGCACTTAGGATCTCTGTGCATCTCCAAATTGAATCAGGTCTTCAGGTCTCTTTGTTTACGTCCACACGCTGTTGTCATAGAAACACTAATCCCCAAAGATGGCAGCTGCGTTCTGCACACAGGAGTGCACGCGTCATTTAGCGGCGCAGACATGAAAAACTTTCTCACAAACACTAAAAACATGGTCCAGCTGCTCCCTGCGGCCTGAACATGCACCACGTCACCCGCAGCCGAGGCTTTCAGAGCTCCCAGAATGCAACATCCATCACGGACTTCAAATGTACCTAATACGTAACCATTACCAAAGTGACCTGGGCTTTCAGCTTCATTCCCGAGCGCAAACATATTTTTAGGAACACGGAAATGCCAGCTCCCCTTGAAAAATGGATATGATCTCAATGGAAAAATGTACTGGAAAAAAATGTGAAATATGAGGTAGCAATTAAAAAAAACACTTGATTCAGTGTTTTTATTTAAATATTAATTAGAGCACATTGACTGTCTTAAAACAAGATTTTCCGATGGGACAAAGTTATTTCGTCTTATTTCAAGACAAAATACGAAAGATAATATTTCTTGTCCCATTGTCAGTCAAAATGTGCTCAAATTAACATACATTTTGCCAAATTTTTGCAATTTGTGACTAATTTTTCATCACTTTTTACAGTGTGTGCTGCCATTAATTATCGACGGCTGCCATTGTACAGAAGAGCAACGTCTTGATGATCTGTAAAAGTTGATTGCGCTGAATAATTAGAAATGCAACCATTTGGTGGATCACTCTTTGAGTCACTGAAGCTTATTACTGAAATATACCTCTTTGGAGCATCTCACTCTGTTTTAGGCACTTATACCACCAAACTGCATCTTAACAATTGGGTAAAGACCTTATATTCGTGTTATTTGGGCTCCTACATCTTAGACAATCCAAAAAAGAAAATGCATTGCTTTCTAACTTTAACACAATGGACAGCAGTGATGATGATCCAGGGCACTCAACATTCTACAACATTTATAGACTTTTATCAACACTTATGGACATTGGTCATCTGCCCCTTATGGTCAAATGACTATATGTTTTATACGTAATTGATTTTGTGTATTTGAAATGTTAGATTTTTTTATCTGTTGTTGTCGAATTCAGCAGTTGTGTAAAGTCCTCAAGATATCTACTATTGTGATTCAGTTCTACACAAGAATACTGTACATTGAACTGAATTGAATCGAATTTCTCCAAAGAGTGAACATTAAAGCGTTAAAGAACTAGCAAAAAGTAGCGGCTTTTGGTGTGGATTGAAGGTACGGTATCTATAGAACGTGTTTTCTTTAAAGCGGTACCTGATCTCCAAACCTCCGCTGAAATATGGATGGGCGTTTGTGCAGAGAAAGCCACAGAGTGAAACGATCCGTCATTAGTCACATGAGACGTGTCCTCTTTTGTCCACAGTGTCGGACCAGTGTGTAATGACAGATCAAGTTGTGCGCTGATCAGACCGGAGCTGTGTGGGTCTGTGGCCATCTGACCCACAATGTCCACCTGAGTGTGTCTGTATTTATAGAGCTGAAGAAGACTTAACCCACCGGAACCCTCTGCAGTAACGACAAAGAGGTTTTTTGTTTTAAAAAAATGTATAAGCTCAAAGCAATTAAAAAAAATACTAAATGATTTCGTCCCACAGTGGGGATATTTCAATGTCATCGTTTGTGCACATTACAGCAGAATAAAAGGAAAAAATAAGAGCACTCAGGTTGCACACATGAAACAGGATTTATATCACGTGTATATGAAAAAACAACTTTAAATACAGTTTTTTTCTTCTCACTCCTTTTCGAGTATCTGCAAGTGTTTTTCTTGTGTGTATAATATTTATCATTTTGTATTATGTAAATGTAACTCAAGGCTATTTATGCAAAATGTTGATCATTTTCATATTCTACTTTTGTTTCTTGTACACTTATTTTCTCAAAATAAACAAACAAACATAAAAATAAAAAAATATATAAAGGTGTCTCCAACCTTGTTCACCCAGAGAGCTACTCCTGTAAGCTGTACCCTGGGAATAATTTGGTGATATATTAGTGTGAGCAAGCCTGATATTCGGTACAGTCATCATTTATCATTGCATATTTGTTACTAGTGCCCAAAGTAAGTGCATTTACAATATTAAATTACAATAATGAATAATACAATCTGAGATATTAAGTATGTTATTTGATTTGTTCAATTCAAAATCCTTTGGCGAGCTGTACCTGGAAGGGGCGGACAGTTACTGGTGGCTCCTAAACTACAAGTTGGAGACCCCTGATCTATATTATAATAAAATAATAAAAATCTGGAGCTATAATTGCACTTGCGCTGCCTAAAATGATAAAAAATGAGGTAATACATTTATTGAAATAAGTGTTGTTTAAATCTTATTCCAAGTACATTCTGACAGTCTTAAAGCAAAAATTCGCCAATGGGACAAAGCCATTGAGTTTTATTTCAAGAACTTTATTTTTTCATTCCAAGAAACATTTCTTGTATCTTTTTAAAACCAGATCATTTTGCATTGTCCCATTGGTCAATCTTTTTTTAAGGCAGTAACAATGTGCTAAAATTAAGATACATTTTACCAAATTTGAGACATTTTCTGACTGATTTTTCATCCCTTTTTGCAGTGTGGTTCAAGGATAAAATACAAGTAGAGTAAACACTGTAGTCAGCAGCATCAGGAGGTATTTACCAATGTTGTACTTAGCAGCAGAGAATAGAATAGAAGATTAGAAAAAGCAATAGTAATAGTAATAGTAGCAGCAGGTAAAGTGACGAGTGAATCAACAGAACAGAATTATCAGATTCATGTAATATTGTAGTAATAATAACAGCAGGAGGACTAAATGAACTGTCTAAATTATAGCCATACATTACTTTTATTATAGTCACGGGTGATAAAAAGATGAAAAAGGGCTCATAGTGACAGTGTTTATGAAATGGAGATAATATAGTCCAGATTGAAAGCGAGCACATGATCACAAAGACTACCCTCCGTTACTTCTACTGTTCACAGACAATACACGTCGTTTTCATTCTTCCTTTGGTCTTTGTCGCTGCTGCTTTTATCACACGACAATACTGTATTCTCTGCTTCGTCATTCGAGCAGCGGTTGTTGAATCGGTTCAGTTTTTCCTCAAACCTCCGCGCTCACAAAGGCGCGTTTGAAGCTCTGAATATTCAGTGTCAGTGCTGCTTACATCTAAGTCACTAAGATCTGACTTTTTTACTGGTCAAAAGAGACAAAAAGAAACAATGTAAGACACACAGGTGCTGGGGCCGTGCAGGGGGCCGCTGTCTGAACGTGATGGACTGTTTTTGTGACAGAAACATGAGTCTGATTCTGTTCAATCACCACAACTTTATTGTCCCCACAGGAGGAGACAATACACCAGTAAGTCATTGATAAACGTTTCGAATCCTCCCTAAGACTTGCTTCAAACGTGGTCAGGTAGAATGAGCTCAGAATGTACAGGTGTTAGGGGAAGTTTAACTCACTGTGATCATACATGTTCTGCATAAGCTTTATAGGAGGCATGTGAAAATTAAAAATGATTTTTACCAATTTACACCATCACCCTTCAAAAATGCAGTCATCTGTTTTACTTTTTTAGGATTCATCAAAATTGAGTTTTCAAGAGAATACAGAGAAAGTCTGGGAAGTCTGGGCATCTCTGCTTTGACTGCTGCCCCCACGACCCGGCAACGGATGAAGCGGAAGAAAATGGATGGATGGATGAAAACAAAACCCTCCAGGTCCTTGTTTTGTAGCTGGACCAGTGGCCAGGGTATTGTGAGTTCATTTCATATGCTCTACCTGCTGTTCCTTTGCTGGGGTCTAAAAGCCAAAGAATTCTCTTGACTCGACTATATACATTACGCCTGACTGTCAGCTGGTGAAAAGTGCATTTGTGTTGACAAGGAGTCTTTCTCTTAACCACTAAAGAAACAGTATTCAGAGTCACTGTTGATCATAAATATTTATTTGTATCAAAAACAAAATAAATAGTCATAATAATAATTAAATAAGTTCCAGATGTCATAAATATAGATGTGACAGTATGTACATGTGGCGATTCTGGTCCAATCATCTAAACACACGCTCGGGGTCCATGTCACCATGGCAACAACAAATGGAAACTACATATATCTACATGAGATTAAATGTAGTTAGGGAGATGTTTGCACCAATTAAAGCTGTGATGTGTCTTTTTTATACTGTCTTCCAAACTGTCAATCATTGTGCTTAGCCCCAATCGCCTTGTAGCGTGTTGGCTCACGGCCACAGTGCAGAGGGTCGCTGAGTCTGAGTCTGTGTATGCAGCCGGTTAGACTTTAACATCGATTCTTTGTGGTTTCAGCGATATTGAAGGAGCTGCAAAAGTAAAAAACAGCTGGAGGTAGCTGACAAGAGGTAAAAGACTGTAGGGGGCCAAGAGGCGGGACAATAATATTTAATAAATATCTATAAATAAAGTCATGTTCGGTGTTTGAAGTTCAAAGTGTTCTTGATTATGCGGCTGGGTCTTTGCAAAATGTTGTGGAAAATATTTGACTTTCTGGTTAACTCAGATGTAAGTCAAGTCTAGACTTGTCTGTGTACGTTTCAACCATGAGTCTGGATCCGGCCAAACGTTCAGTAACTGTCCAAGACGATGTCTGCTCAGCGGCACCTACACCTTTAGGAGGGATTTTCTTCTATTGTTCCTACATGAACTGTTACATTTTAAACCCTCAATAATCTATACGTTTGCTCGTTGGGTCATAACTCAGAGGTTATGCAAGAGGCCATAGTTCCATCTTCCAGGCCTGATCTTCTGAAGGTAAATGAACGCTCTGGTTTGAACCAGAGTTTTATTTAATCATAAATCATGATTTTTACTTACTCAGTCCAAAAGATCGCCAAAGGTTTTCTGTGTAAACAAGAAATGAGACATTGATCATCTTCCCAAAAGGTTTCTTCACACACAGGCGCACTTCCTGGCTGAGTGCTTCCTCATCGTGTGGTACACCAAATCATCGTCCAGAAATGATAGATTGTCATCAAATGCGATTGGCCGACAGCACACGTGGGCGGGACGGTCTCTGGGAGGAAGTCTGCGGTGTTGGACCAGGTTGGACAGGATCTTGTCGTAGTTTGCCTCAGACTTACGGCACAGCCCTGAGCAGTATCTGCAAAGGGAAAAGAAACATATTTTTGATTGTGATATAATCTCAACTGTACCACATACCCTCATATTGCGCTAACTCATATCATCCCGACTGCTAATTGTATATTGCACTGAACTATAGTGCACAGATTATATATATTGCAGATTCATTTTGCAGTAACTCATATTCCTGGGTCTCCTCCCCAGAAGGGGTCCAAGGAGGCTAAGGAAGCGCCTGGCCACACTGTGGAGGAAACTCATTTCGACCGCTTGTATCCGGGATCTTGTCCTTACGGTCATTATCCAGAGCTTATGACCACCATGAGGGAAGGAACGTAGACTGACCATTATATTAAGAGGTTTCTCTTTTGACTCTACCACAACAGTCTGATTCAACGTCTGTCAATATCATATCCATCCTTCTCTCAGTTATGAAACAACTTACCTTGAACTCCTCCACTTGTGGAAGGACCTCAATACCTATCATTCTCCCATATCCTATTGTCTGAATCTCTCCAGATTGAAATACCAACATCGATATCACACAAGCCATTTCAAGCCTATATAAATATTATAATGTTATACCTGAAAATCATCTCCTCTTCAGAGCGGTATCCCAGATCTAAGTCGGAGATGTTCAGCTGCACCTGCTTCAGTACACAGTCCTGGGTTTGGCCGCGCTGTCCCCCTCTCCCTCCTCTCCCCCCTCTCTTCCCTGTGCCACCTCTACTCTTCTGGGCATCCGGCTCTCTGTGCTGGGCTCGTCGATGTCTGCTCCTGGGCACAGAGGGGGAGGAGGTGTGTGTCCGGCTGATGGTCACTTTCACCAACTCCATCACATTATCATAGTCGTCCAACAGCCATTCCTCTGTCATGTCTGCAAGAGATAAACAAAAGAAGGACTTTGAGGCAATAATCCAAATATGGCCAGTCAACGTATTCACTGGACTCATTATGTCCAGTGAGGAGAGAAATGAGTAGAATCCTTATGAACAGTTTCATATCGGCTACGTTTTCTACATGCTCTGACTCCGATCGCAAAGTTTCAATCTGAAGGCAACGGTCTATAAATACTGTCTTGTATTTTCTGATCCTGGTCTTCAGATTGTGGTGAATGATGAGCGGACAATCAACATTCTACAATATTTATGGACATTTATCAACAATTATGGACATTGGTCATCTGCCCCTTATGAACCTATGGCTCTATGTGTTTTCTATCATTGCATTTCCTGATTTGAGACGGCAAATTTAACGGTTTCGTAAAGTCCGCCAAGATAACTACTGTTGTGATTTAGGGCCATACAAGAATACATTGAATTGAATTGCCTGCTCTAATACGGACCATAAAATGTCACACATAGACAATACAAAGCTGGAGTACCTAACTTTTTTGGTTTCATAAATACATACATACATACAAGTAAGTCATCTTTATTTATATAGCGCATTTCACAGATCAAGGCCACTCAAAGCGCTTTATAATTGTGTACCGGTAATCTCCATTCACTCCACACACGGTGATGACAGAAGCGAGACACTGGACACCTGGTGCTCTGGAGCCAGAGGAAACTCACGCAGACACGGGAAGAACATGCAAACTACACACAGCTCTGAAGCCCAAGCACTGACTGTTTAACAATTTTGTGTTTTTGAAAGACCACAACATGCTGTCCTCATCTTCGTTAGGAAATAAGATCAAAACATTTGATCTTTTACACAATACGAGCTGATTGGCTGAGTGAGGGCTGGTTCTCAAGCTGATCAAAAGATGTGACAGAAGCTAAAATTACATGAGTGATAGAACCAAACAGCTTTGAGAGCTACACTGCAAAAAGTTATAAAAAAATTGTCATTGTCATTGTTGTCAAAAGTTGTCATTTTTTTGTAATTGGAGCACATTGTGACTGCCTTAACACAAGATTTGCCAATGAGAAAAGACAAAATATATTGTATTAAAAAGAAACAAGGATATCTCCCAGATTCAGATGCTAAAATAAGACTAAAGGGTTTGTCCCATTGGCAAATCTTGTTTTAAGACAGTCAGAATGTACTCAGATTAACATAAAAACCACATGATATAAGCATTTATAACCTCATATGTTATCACCTTTTGCATGAATATTGATACGTAGTTATTTTTGTGTTAGATTATCCAGCTTTACTGTGATTTGGTGTACAGAGGCACATTTGCAGCTGCTAAATTGTGTTAGCTAATAGTGTCCAATCAAAAACTAACAAAAATAGTCCTGTATGTTAGCATAACCTTAAAAGCGTCTTTATGACTTTGATTTATACTCTCATACTTAATGCATATACTGTTCATTTCGCAACTTAATTTGGTGAATCAGTATCAGTCTTAATCCAATCATCTCCCACCTGAGAATAAACTTTATACAGACATTTCCAACAAAAAGGATCCCATCTTACACTTGTGTCCAACTGGCAGACTCTCCACGCTGGATGTGTCCGGCAGAGAGAGACCCCCAGGGCTGTTAGGTGTCTCCCCCTTTCTTTCTCCTTCTTTGCGCAGCGCTCTGGGGCAGACAAAGCTCAGGCCAAGCACCAAACACCAGCTCACACAAAGCCATTCCCTCATGGTCAGGGGCAGACTCTGGCATTACTACCACTGTTCATCAGGGATTGACCAATTACTGGAGCTGTAAGAGGTGAAACGATGGGGCGGCAGTCTTTGAGGTTATCTATTTCCATCTCCATTTTGAGCTAAAAAAAGAAGAAAACAAAATAAGGTGGTCTCTCTGGTCTCTCTCTGGTCTCTCTCTGGTCTCTCTCTGGTCTCTCTCTGGTCCCTCTCTGGTCTCACTCCGGTCTCTCTCTGGTCTCTCTCTGGTCTCTCTCTGGTCTCTCTCTGGTCTCACTCCGGTCTCTCTTTCTGGTCTCATTCTGCTCTCTCTCTGGTCTTTCTCTCTGGTCTCTCTGTGGTCTCTCTCTGGTTTCTTTCTCTGGTCTCTCCATGTCTCTCTCTGGTCTCTCTGGTCTCTCTCTGGCCTCTCTCTCTGGGCTCTCTCTCTGGTCTCTCTCTCTGGTCTCTCTCTCTGGTCTCTCTCTCTGGTCTCTCTCTGGCCTCTCTCTGGCCTCTCTCTCTGGTTTCTCTCTCTGGTCTCTCTCTGGTGTCTCTCTCTGGTCTCTCTCTGGTCTCTCTCTGGTCTTTCTCTCTGGTCTCTCTCTCTGGCCTCTCTCTGGTTTCTCTATGGTCACTCTCTGGTCTATCTCTCTGCTCTCTCTCTTTGGTCTCTCTCTCTGATGTCTCTCTCTGGTCTCTCTCTCTGGTCCCTCTCTCTGCTCTCTTTCTGGCCTCTCTCTCTGGTCTCTCTTTGCTTGTGGTTGAAACAGAAGAACATATAAAACAATATGAGTGTATAGTTTCTTACCTGGAGCCTTATTTTACTCGTTTCATGATGTGAATTTGACTGCGCATCATTTCTTCAAGCGAGAACTTTTTTCCCAAAGTGGTAAGAAAACAATGATTTACTTCAGTGGAAAAGTACTGTCTTAAAGTTTCATGTCACTAGTCAAAAACGTATTCAAATCAGTGAAGAATTCTAGCTCACATAATCTATCTCAAAAACACCTACAGCAACAACAATAACTCGATTGAAATGATAAATATGGCTTTTTGGCAGTGTGCAGATCCCCGAATGCCTAAATCCATGCAAAAGAAGCACTTGTGGAAGTTGGGAAAAGAGTAAAAAGTCCTCAAAAGCAAATTAATCCCAGTTGTGACTTTGCCGAGAGCTGGAGCGTTTTGTGCAGTGAAGTGAGGAGTCCAGACGTGCAGTGGGAGGGACCTCTGCCAAACACTCCACCCGTTTACACGCAGATACAGACAAACATGTACTCTAGGGCTAAATCCACTCTGCGCTTTTTCTATTTTGGATTCAAACTCTATGTAACTCAATACCCTGGTCTTAACTAGGACCGAGATTTCAGCTTGTTTTCATAACAATTCTACCCTTTTGTCCGCTCGTACTGGACTGTTGAATGTGATTGTAAGTCAGTTCAGCGTTGATGGTGGTCTGTGAACTTGGACATACAGGATACTGGCTTTATCTGACTCGCTGTTTGTGTGAAATCTACACTGAAAAACATAATTTATTGTCTGATAGTCAATATGGGTTTAGGTAAAAACAGATCTTGTTTACATGGTCTATTTGTGTTAAAAGTCCTATAGGGACGGACATTGCAAATTAGCCCTGGCAATAATTGTTGTAGTGTTTGATATTGATTGTGTTCATTGTCCCTACCAAATAAAAATCAATAAACACATAAAATGACTTAGTGTGGGGGAAATTACAAATGGTATTGAAAAATATGTATTAGGATTTGTTTTGATCTACAACAAGTTTTTGATAGCATTGATCATTATCTTTTAATAAACCAATTGGAAAACTATGATGAGACTTTTGAGGGAAAGAAGGCAGATTGTTTTGACCAACACAAATCCAAATGTAGAGTCACAACCTGTGGGCACCGCAAGGGTCAATACTGGGACTCACATTATTCATTATGTACATCCATAAAAATGATAAACATTTTTGTAAAACTGCATCTCTTTGCCAATGACACAAATTATGTGTTTTATCATTATTTGTGCCGGCAATTTGTTTAGGCGACTATAACTGTGGAGATGAATACATTAAAGCTCTTTGAAATTCACAGAGCTTAGTTATTATACTTAAGTGAGGGGTTCTTGCTTCTTCATTATGCTTAAGTTGGAGATTTGAAGACTTCCTTTTTATGCAAAAGATCAGAGTTTTTATACTGCTTTTTATGCTAGAGTTAGAGATATTATTCTATTTTGTTTTATTTTAGTTTTGAGTTATTCATTTTTCTTGTGCTGTGTGCTCCTCACTCCTTCTGTTCTGTAACTTGTGATGCAACACTGACATTTTCTTATAATCTTAATCTTAATCCTCTGTCTCAGTGCAAGGAGTAACTCTTTGGGAAACCTTAATATGTTAAGGTTTCCCAGGTTTTGCATTTAAAACATGTTTCCATTTCAATCACAATTTAAGTTCTAAAAGTATGTGGAGGAAAGAGAGACATGGGGCGAGTAGTGGGAAACAGGTGTATGGCCAGAGAGTGTTTGGGCCGGTGTCTGCCTCTATGTGTAGGTAATTTTTTTGCATAAATAATTGAAGAAAACATCTGCCCAGTTTTTTTATTTTTACTTTTAATTGATATTTGATTTAGTGTGCCATGGGAGTGCTGCCAAATCATGTAAGAGTAATTTTACGCTGTCAAAGGTTCCGCCCCATGCACTTTTCACCTTGGAACTAACTACTGTTGTGTTTGACAGATTCATTGTGACATTCCTTCTGGGAAAACATGTAAGATTTACAATATTGATGAAATTGATCCTTAAAACAGGCACAAACATAGTTTACTTTGAAAATACAAAAAGGAAAATATGAAAACATGGTCTGGCAAATGAAATGAGCTCCTCCGTTAATCAATCAATCAATCAACGTTTATTTATAGAGCGCCTTTCCTACACAAGGCAACGCAAAGCGCCTCACAACCCATATAACATCAGAATCAGAATCAGAATCAGAATCAGAATCATTTTTATTGCCAACGTAAGTAACGGGAGGTCACAGACTTGGAAATTGCTTTGGCTCAGTGCAACAGTCAAAAAGAGATAATAAAAATAAGAATAAAAAACACTTCTAAAGAATAAATTTAAATTTAAAATAGAGTTACAGTTACTATTTACAATATACAAGTGCACATGGTGCACACAATGTAAGGTGACAGCAGTACAGTGAAGTAAAGTGACGTATGATGGGCAGTAAAGTGACTTTATAAAGGGCGGGGGGACAGGTTAAGAAGTGTTCAAGAGTCCAACAGCAGAGGGGAAGAAACTGTTCTTGTGGCGGGAGGTTCTAGTCCTGATGGACCGCAGCCTCCTGCCTGAGGGGAGTGGTTGGAATAGTCCATGTGCAGGGTGAGAGGGGTCGGCTGTGATACGACCAGCCCGGCCTCGAGCTCGGGCGACGTACAGGTCCTGCAACGATGGAAGGCTGCGGCCGATCACTTCCTCTGCAGAGCGCACAATGCGCTGTAGTCTCTGTTTGTCCCTGACTGTGGCTCCAGCGAACCACACGGTGATGGAGGAGGTGAGGATGGACTCGATGATGGCCGTGTAGAACTGCACCAACATCTGTGCAGGCAGCTTGGCTTTCCTGAGCTGCCGCAGGAAGTACATCCTCTGCTGGGCCTTCTTGATGAGGGAGCTGATGGTCGGCTCCCACTTGAGGTCCTGGGTGATGGTGGTGCCCAGGAAACGGAAGGACTCCACAGAGGTGATGGGGGAGTCCATCACGGAGAGTGGGGGCGGGGGGACAGTGCTCTTCCTGAAGTCCACAATCATCTCCACTGTCTTCTGGGCGTTCAGCTCCAGGTTGTTACCACTGCACCAGGACACCAGCCGGTCCACCTCCCTCCTGTAGGCGGACTCATCGTTGTTGGAGATGAGTCCAATGAGGGTGGTGTCGTCCGCGAACTTGATCAGCTTCACGGAGTCGTGGCTGGAGGTGCAGTGGTTGGTGTACAGGGAGAAGAGCAGGGGAGAAAGAACACAGCCCTGTGGGGCTCCTGTATTTATAATCCGAGAGTCCGAGACATTCTTCCCCAGACGCACTCGCTGCTTCCTGTCCGTCAGGAAGTCAGTGATCCACCTGCAGGTGGAATCGGGCACGTTGAGCTGGGAGAGCTTGTCCTGGAGCAGGGATGGCAGGATTGTGTTGAAGGCAGAGCTGAAGTCCACGAACAGGACCCTGGCGTAGGTCCCCGGGGAGTCCAGGTGCTGTAGGATGTGGTGGAGGGCCAGGTTAATGGCGTCGTCTACAGATCTGTTGGCTCTGTAGGCGAACTGCAGGGGGTCCAGGAGGGGGGAGGTGAGGGACTTGAGATGGGAGAGAACCAGGCGTTCAAATGACTTCATGACGACAGACGTAAGTGCTACAGGTCTGTAGTCATTGAGTCCTGTGATCCTGGGCTTCTTCGGGACGGGGACAATGATGGAGGATTTGAAGCAGGCCGGGACATGGCAGGACTGCAGAGAGGAGTTGAAAATGTCCGTGAACACAGGAGTAAGCTCACTGGCGCAGTGTCTCAGAGTGGCCGGAGACACGTGGTCCGGGCCAGGAGCTTTGCGGGGGTGCAGCCTCAGGAAGAGTTGTTTAATCTCTTTAGCGGCTATTGTTAGGCTGGGGGCAGGGCTGATGGGTGGGTCGTTAGAGTAGTGGGGGGGTGGGGGAGGGAGAGGTGTCAGGGGCAGCATCAAAGCGACTGAAAAATAAGTTCAGATCGTCAGCTAGCTTGTGGTCATCAGCACAGGGGGGGGCTTTGGGTTTGTAGTTGGTGATCTCCCGTAGGCCCCTCCAGACAGAAGCAGTATCGGTTACCAAACGTCCTGTAGTCGTTCTCTGTGCCGGGACTTGGCTGCTTTCAGTTCTTTCCTGAACTGATATTTAGCTGCTTTGTAGCCGCTGCGGTCCCCCTCCCTGAAAGCAGAGTCCTTTGCTTTCCTGAGCTGCCGGAGTTTAGCAGTGAACCAGGGTTTGTCGTTGTTATAGATGACCCTGGTCCTTGTTGGAATGATGCTATCCTCACAGAAGTGGATGTATGACGTCACAGTGTCCGTATATTCATCCAAGCTGTCTGTGGCAGCTCTGAAAAGGTCCAGTCTGTAGATTCCATGCATGCGCGCAGCTCTTCCACAGCTTCATCAGACCACACTTTGGAGCTCCTCACTGCAGGTTTCGAGAGCTTTAGTCTCTGTCTGTAAGCAGGAACCAGATGTATCATGGAGTGATCTGAGAAGCCGAGGGCTGGCTTGGGAACAGCGCGAAAAGCTCCGCGCACGGTGGTGTAACAGTGATCCAGAGTTGTTCTCCTCTCTGGTCGGGCATTTGATAAACTGTCTGTATTTGGGTAATTCCTGGCTCAAGTTTCCCTTATTAAAATCCCCCAGGATAATAATCAGAGAGTCCGGGTATAAGCGTTCCATACACAGTACTTGCTCTGCGAGATGTGCGCGCTGAGCCTCGCGCGCGTCCGCGCATGGCGGTATGTAAACAGAGGCAAGAATGAATGAAACAATTTCCGCGGGGAGTAATATGGTTTACAATGAATGAAAAGATATTCCAGAGCAGGAGAGCAGTGCTTGGAGATCACTGTCACATCGTTACACCAGTTTGTATTGACGTTAGAAACAGAGCCCTCCGCCTCTGCTCTTCCCTGAGAGCGCACAATGGCGTTCCGCGCGAAACACAGCCCAAAGCCCTGCAGCTCCAGAGCGCAGTCCGTGGATCCGCACCTCATTTAGCCAGGTCTCAGTGAAGCCAGAAGACAAGGATGTGGCGAGGTTGGATGGATGTCCTTGTTTCTTCTCAAAGCAGGCTGAGTTCGTATGCATCTTATATGCCCAGTGAGCGTTTTACGTTGGAGTTGAAATAAAAAAAATGCCGTTGAGTTTCCTTTGTGTAGCTGAACAAACTTGTTTTTTATGCTCATTTTTCAATTGTTCAGCGCACATAAATTCAGGCCCTTGATGTTGAAATTGAAAATTCAGGTAATTATTGCATCTCCAGAACAATGTCCAAATGTATCGCGCTTAAGTCACTTTAAATGTGAGTGGTAAAGTAATCCTCTTACAACAAACATATGGTCCGAGCTGCACGGAGCCAAAGTGACCCCTGCTTTTATCAATACACTCTTTACTGATATTACACTCATTACTAATATTACACACAACATGTCACCGATTACACACAACACACACATAACACTGAGTAAAGCAAGTTTAATTAAAGGCATATAGAAGGATTTTGTCAGATTTTAGGAAAGAACCGCTCTCTCCACTTTTTGAACAAAACTCTCTGGTCTTATTTAACGAGCACGTATCACCAGAATGATTGACAAATGGGAGGACCAATAGTGTTGAAATCCCCCTATATACCTTTGAGTCAGTTCCATTGGTGAATGTTATTGGAAGACATGAAACATCGACATTCTCAAATCAAGAGGAATATTTCTCCAGGAACGTGATTGTCCGACAACAGTGTATGTCAAATATTTAGAATTAGGCAAGGCAAGTGTATTTGTATAGCACAGTTTGCACAAAAGGCAACTCAAAGTGCTCAACAAAACAGGAAAGGAAACAATGAAATTCAGATCAAGGAATTCAAATCATAAATAGTCACGATACAGTAAAAAATAGTAAAGATAAATCAGAACTGTTTTTAACCTGGTTCTAAACATTGTTGTGCCCACAACAGCAGTTTGGCACTTTGCAGCCGCAGCACTGTGGCATCTAGTGTTCCCAGAGGTCTCCCATCACAGCACTAACCAGGCCCTGCCCTGCACAGCTTCAGAGGTCTGACAGGATCTGGTATGCAAGTTATTAATATTATTTAATTCAAAGGACATTTATTTAGTCCAATCAGGAATTTCGGGCGTTCTGCTCTCCCAAAATTCCATCCACTGAGCGGCGCTGTGATCAAAAAATGACACCGTTTGTTGCCAGTTCACTTCCGGTTGATTTCATACAATGGCGAATATGGCTCACGAAAACAACAAGCGATTGACAGTGCCTGAATTGCGTGAAAGGTTGAAGCGAAAGGGTATTTGCAGTGTGGGAAAACGAAAGGAGGAATTGTTGTTGCTAGTTCAACGAGCGGATGGTGTTTATGAAGATTTTAGAAGAAGATGACAGCGAGCAGAGTGAACGAAAACGGCTGTGTGTGCGAGTGACAGATGGTAACAATGAGAATGAAGTTCAGCTAAGAGGGAAGAATGTGAATTGGACGGATGATTTTGCGCGATATGCCACTAGTTAGAGACGGGAATGTATTTGCATACAGAAAATGACGAAAACACTCAACCATTTAGAGAAAATGCGCCGGGCAGAGAGAACCGGAAGTTGCGAAGGCAAGTTGTTACCCATAATGCAACGCAAAATTCAGTCGCTCCCCCGCCCATCGGATGGAATTTTGGTGAGAGCAGAACGCCCCGAATTGGGGTGCATTTGAAAACTCTTTTTACTGTTGGAAAAGTATTTTTCATGTGTCACAGTCAGAGAAGCTTTAATAGTCACAGATTTACGAACCCTTTCTCCAGCACTTTACGGTCTTGTCCCTCACACACTGACAGCTTTCCATCAAACCCACAAAAATGTACAAATATCACTCCATTCTCCAAGGCCGTTACTCCGGACACTGGTTAACAAGCCTCTTTTTTACGAACACGAGGCGCATGGAGCAAAGTGGAGGAGATTTGATTTGCGAGGCCGAGTTTTTCTTCACAGAGCATCGGTAATAAATATGAAGGTCCACGCACCGCGCTGCACTCAGCTTGTTTTTCACAGGTCAAGAAGCTTCCGAATGCATTAGGACTGAGAGCACAAAAGCAAGTGCCACATGGTCTGGAGACTGCAAATGTCCAGTGAGCACGACAAGGATCTATTTATACATGGGCTAAAGAATATGCTATTGGTATTACCTTAAAAAAATATCTTTACACTGCAAATAATCCTAAAATATGAGGTAAAAAAATTGCCAACGGGACCAAGCCATTTAGTCTTATTTCAAGAACTGTTGCATTTTTTTCTCATTCCAAGGGAGTCATTTCTTGTTTTGCTTGTCCCATTGACAAATCTGGTTTTAAGGCAGTCAAAATGTGCTCAAATCGAGATAAATGTTGCCAAATTTGAGCAATTTGGAACATTGTCAATTTATTTTTCATCACTTTTTGTAGTGTTTTTGCAGCTTTATTTTGTCATAGATCATGCGTGGTCCCAACAGAAAGATTCTTAGTATTATTAAAACATTTTCTGTGTGCGTCAGTATTTGATGCTATTGTTGAGAGCTGATGAGGGTGAAACAGCAGATCTAAAGACGTGTCATAGATTCAACTATTAGCAGACAAATACAGTATATATAAATGGATTTTATTATGTTATTGTCATTATATGTAGGATATGTATGATATATATAGTAATATAATGAATATAATCTTGTATTTGTATATACGTATAATATAGTAATCTTTTATTTTTATCGACGTGAGTAGTTGTACCTTTATCTCCCAGAGCCATCATTTTGATTTTAGTGCAAAACTCAATGTAGACATTTTTTACATAATCAACTATTCTCCGGGTGCTGGGACTGGACTGGAACTAGTCTGAGCTTGGAGCAAGTGCTAGTTACCATAGCAGCACAATGTTTACTTGACGGCAGTTCACATTCAGCCTTGTATTTAAGTTTTTTTAACCAATTTTAGCACTTAAAGATAAAAACTGGGATTGGGATTGGGATTTTTTTTTAGAATTCTATTGATTTGAAAGGAAAACGTCACAATTGAGTCCCAGTGTTCAATCATGTTGGGACCAGCTACAATTTTCAACTTTGTTTTGCTTCTTCAGCTTTTGAGATTACACTATGAATCACTATTCTGATCAAATGCAGCTGGAGCAGTTCAGACACATTCAGACACGGTGCAGATGTGACTGTTTTAGAACGTGGTACCTTATACCCGGTGATGGTGCTGACGTGTCTTCGTGGCATCTTCCATCTGACGCTGAAGGAGGAACAGTTCACAGTCTCCAGCTGAATGTCCAGGGGAGGACTGAGGCGCTCTGCACACACACACACACCCACACACAAGATAATATAATGAATAAAATATGTCACTTTTGAGTCAATACACAACTATTTTAACTGTAAATCTTATCAGCAGGGACTATATGGGGTATTGTGAATGGAATATTATGCATGTGTGTTCTCTATGATTGGCTGTAGTTACTGTATATTATATAGACTATATAGACCTTTTTTTTCATTTATTCATTTTGTTTCAGGCAATGGCACAAAAAGTACATGGTAGAAATATGCAGTCATAGTGTAAAACGACTGTAATGAATGTAAAACTATATTGTGTTGTGTCGAAAGAGGTTAAGGACCCCCTGCGGTAAACCATATAAAATAATAGTCTTGTGTTTTCAGGCCAGTGAGACTTTTCACATCACATAAATATACCCTTGTTAAAAAGAAAACGCATGAAAGATTGTTTTCTTGCAGTGTGCCTGTTGTTTTTCCCCTTTGTTGTCTGAGGTGTTTCTCTGCACACAGATCGGACTCTTTTGTCCAGTGCCGAAACCACAAGGCATCACAGATCTACAGCGACACAAAACCCTGGAGGCAAAACAAAAAGCGGAGCCAAAATATGTCACAATATGTCACAAAGCACACAACACGAGTCCAAATGTCAGCAGACACAGAATAACACACATAATTTGCTTTTTTATATATTCTTGCTATTCTTGCATTGATTGAGCAGGATTCTCATCTCTTACAAAACAGAAATTTATTTGCTTTTAATCGTAAAAACAAACTCAATAGACAATTAAAATTAACAATTTTCAGATCCTTATTACAGTCTTTTGTCATTTTTGCGCGAAAGTTTTCATTTCTATTGATTACTAATCCATGATTTCAATTAGTTACAGAATACTGATCACCGGCCCAATAAAAAGTGGGTTTTATAAAATACTAAACGCTAAAAAGTAATCTTTATTCATATTGCGCCTTTCACAGTCACAAAACACTTTACAATTGCTGCGGGCATTTGTCTCTCACTCCACACAGAGAGGGGAGCGGGGACAACAACACAATAATAATACAGTCTAAAGGATAAAATATATTTGTTTTGCTCTGATTTTCATTATTGTTACAGGTAAATATAAGAATAAGACAGACTAGACATGGAACAGATCCTCATGAGAAATATGAATCTAATTTCTAGCACTTGAACACAACAAACCCTAAGTGTGTAATTGTGTAGCTGTGATATTAGTGGCCTGGAGCGCACACAAACAGCTGCCAAATGTTGTTTGATTGCATTTATTACATTGATAGTATCCTAAACCAGTGTTCCTCAACCTTTTGGAACCACGGCACACCTTTTTCATTGAGAACCTTCCCACGGCACACCACCAGCTGAAATATACAAACTTGAAACCGTGCAGCCTGTATTAAAGTCATTCTCCTCAGAGTGTATCATACAGACCAAGCATGTCAAACTCAGGCCCGTGTGAGAAGTTTTTAGTACCCCCTGATATAATTTTCAATTATCATTACTATGGCATGTTATAGTTCATTTTAAAGCTTATTTTTTCAGGAATAAAACCAAATATATAGATTAAGATTAAGAGATCCTTTATTTGCCCCACAGTGGGGGAAATGTCTGTGTTGCATCACAGGTTATAGAACAGTAGGAAAGAGGAGCACACGGCACACGTTAAGTGAACAAAAGCTATACTAATCAAAATAAAAACAATCTAACTCAAGCATCAATAATAAGTATAAAATCTCTATCTTGAAAATATAATAGATGTAAAAAATTAACATTGACAAAATAAGGGCAAGTATAAAGTATATCTGTTCCCAAATCAGTCTTCCAATCTCCAATTACATCTCTTGAACATAATATCAGAAAATAATATCCAAACCAATGTCAAATTATTTTCTATTTTGACAATAACAAAACATATTCTCAAAATACAAAAATGAGTGACAAGAAATTATGATTATAAAAGAAAAACACTGTTGGCACCCACCTGTTCAAACCTTTTTAAATTTGGCCCCCGACCAAAATCAGTTGGACGCCCCTGATATAGACAATCAAGCGAGAGCAAAAAGATTCTTTGTCCCATATTTTGACCAATAAGGGGATTTTGGGTTATTCCAAAGGCACACCAAACAACATCTCAAGGCACACTAACGTACCACGGCACACTGGTTGAAAAACACTGTCGTAAACCACTCCTTAATATCCTGCCCTATATGTATATAACTTTACACTATACATATGGATAGATGGAGATTTATCGATATATTGATATTGAAGCATTTTACAGCTAGCTATGAAACATATAGCAGCTACTTATTTTGTATATTTTGTGTGCTCCCTGTGTCTCTTACTACTATCCTGTATGTGCGCTGCAACACTGAAATTTCCCACTGTGGGACGAATACAGGGGATATTATTCTTATTATTTATTCTTAATCACAAGTGTACCCCATTATTAACTGAAAATGACGACTTTTCCAGCACATCCTGAAAGATTGTCTTGGATAGGATATGTTTAGTTTCGCAGTTGCCGAATTGGAAGTCTGGGGGAGGGGGCTGAGTGACAGCGTGTGTAACAGGAGGTGACAGAGAAAAGAAAACAAGGAAATAAAAGGTAAAAGTGACAGAGACTTGAGGCGCAAAGGGACTCAGGCTGTTGTCTTCTGTTATTGTTTCACTCGGCTGTCTGGACCAAGAAGACAATCAGAAAAACTCACATCCGCAATTCAATTTCATGTGTAAAACCATCTAGCCCTGTATTATAATGTAAATGCAGGTAGATGTGATGTAGTCCCTCCTCTTTCCATAACCTCCACCATTCATGTTTCACAAAGGCCTCAATTTGGACCAATGGGGAGAGGCCTGTGTTGTCGTCCAGGAGGGTGTGTCGCCTTGTGATCTGTTGAGATTCCCTCAAATCAAGGAAGAGTGAAAAATTCTCATCTATTTTCATTTTGACTCTATTTCTTTCTGAATTTGTGATTACAGATTATGGTAAGAATTAGGTTATTGTTATAGTACATAATATAGACTTGTTTAGCATACAAGCTACTTTAACCATAATAATTAGTAAATAATTGATTTGAGGAATTTGGGATTTTTTGAAAAAGAGTTCAATCACTTTTGTGTTATTTACTTAAAACTAGAAAATAACATATAAACAAACATGAAATAATTATCTCAGTCCAGTTCAAAAATGTATTGGAATATTGTCAATACTTTATACAAGAAAAATATGTTTTTTAATTAATTTTTACTTTTTTCCATTGCATAAAAAAGTGTTTCTAAACACATTCGAATCCAAATGGATACGTTTGACGATACGTTAACCTTTTGCCAGTGTTGTAAGAAAATTGCTTCTATCTTTAGCAAATGCATTTACTGATTCAAAGCTAAAGTCCCATCATGTAAGTCAGAAGAAGGCACTCCATTCTTTAGTCAAATATGTATACAACCTGCACTGAAGTTATTTAAGCCTGATACTGTCTCCGTACTGTCTGCACTTTTTACGTGCATTTGACTTGATGTGTGACATAAATGCAGCTACAAACCCTCACCTGATCTGCGCGCACTGGACCTCCGCGCTCCGAGGCTGGACGCGCATAACGCAAACAGCAGCAGGTACAAGAGCGTCCTCTGTTTACGCACAGCCTCCATGTTGACCCTCACAAGTCCCGCAGGTCCCCGAATCATAAGTCCGCTCGATGTGCAACAGATGCGCCAGTCAAAAGTCCATCCTCGTCCACATTCACTCACAGTGACTTCGCGGACCCGTCAGTGGTGAAGTTTTGCACGGGACACAGACTCCATCCGCGTCCAGACACCGCACGACTGAGCAGATTACTGTCCGTGAAGATCAGCGGCTTGGACACACGCAGGGTCAGCCCCACGCGCCTTTACGCAGGATAACTGAGCCAATTTACGCACGGCGCGCGCCATGCAGAGAGACCGGCAGCACTGCGCAGATGCGAGTTTGTAGTGTTTGTAGTGTGTGTGTCTGTGTGTCTGAGTGTGTGTGCGTGTGTGTGTGTGTGTATGTGTCAGGAGAGATGGGCGCGTGGGGCCATTCTGCGTTAAGAGGATAAGGTGCAGGTAATCCTCACGCTGCTGGGCACAGATGGAGACGCACAGTAGAGCAGAGTGCGCATGCTTCAGGATTGAATGTTTGGGTAATGTTGACTTGGAGTAAAGATCGATATCAATATCAATCAATGAGGGGCCACGTGTTCACCTCTTTCTTTATCTTTATCAAAATTGCAAAAGAGCAACAAGTTGAAAGCAGTGAAGCAAAGAAAGGTAGCGCCATATTCATAATGGAAAACTCTACTATAATAACCATGCACTCAAGCGATGTATTTTAATCAGTAGAACTAACAAAATATATGCTTAAACACAGCGACTCGTTAAGGTTATTGATCTCCATATAAGCCTGTCCACTGCATGATCTGTCCGCACTATATCAATCAATCAATCAAAGTTTATTTATAAAGCGCTTTTTCATACAACAGATGCAACACAAAGTGCTTTACAGTTTGGCTAAAAAACAATCCTGCCCATGCCCTCCCCCCGACCGCCCAACAGACCCTCCCCAGACCACAAGCAAACACCCCCCCCCCCACACACACACGCGCACTGCGCGGTCACACACACGCGTGGGGCTGACCCTGCGTGTGTCCAAGCCGCTGATCTTCACGGACAGTAATCTCAACAAGCTCAGTCGTTGCGGTGTCTGGAGCGGGATGGAGTCTGTGTCCCGTGCAAAACTTCACCTGACGGGTCCGCGAAGTCACTGTGAGTGAATGTGGCGAGGATGGACTTTTGACTGGCGCATCTGTTGCACATCGAGCGGACTTATGATTCGGGGACCTGCGGGACTTGTGAGGGTCAACATGGAGGCTGTGCGTAAACAGAGGACGCTCTTGTACCTGCTGCTGTTTGCGTTATGCGCGTCCAGCCTCGGAGCGCGGAGGTCCAGTGCGCGCAGATCAGGTGAGGGTTTGTAGCTGCATTTATGTCACACATCAAGTCAAATGCACGTAAAAAAAGTGCAGACAGTAACGGAGACAGTATCAGGCTTAAATAACTTCAGTTGCAGGTTGTATACTATTTGACTAAAGAATGGAGTGCCTTCTTCTGACTTACATGATGGGATTATTTTCTTGTATAAAGTATTGACAATATTCCAATACATTTTTGAACTGGACTGAGATAATTATTTCATGTTTGTTTATATGTTATTTTCTAGTTTTAAGTAAATAACACAAAAGTGATTGAACTCTTTTTCAAAAAATCCCAAATTCCTCAAATCAATTATTTACTAATTATTATGGTTAAAGTAGCTTGTATGCTAAACAAGTCTATATTATGTACTATAACAATAACCTAATTCTTACCATAATCTGTAATCACAAATTCAGAAAGAAATAGAGTCAAAATGAAAATAGATGAGAATTTTTCACTCTTCCTTGATTTGAGGGAATCTCAACAGATCACAAGGCGACACACCCTCCTGGACGACAACACAGGCCTCTCCCCATTGGTCCAAAATTGAGGCCTTTGTGAAACATGAATGGTGGAGGTTATGGAAAGAGGAGGGACTACATCACATCTACCTGCATTTACATTATAATACAGGGCTAGATGGTTTTACACATGAAATTGAATTGCGGATGTGAGTTTTTCTGATTGTCTTCTTGGTCCAGACAGCCGAGTGAAACAATAACAGAAGACAACAGCCTGAGTCCCTTTGCGCCTCAAGTCTCTGTCACTTTTACCTTTTATTTCCTTGTTTTCTTTTCTCTGTCACCTCCTGTTACACACGCTGTCACTCAGCCCCCTCCCCCAGACTTCCAATTCGGCAACTGCGAAACTAAACATATCCTATCCAAGACAATCTTTCAGGATGTGCTGGAAAAGTCGTCATTTTCAGTTAATAATGGGGTACACTTGTGATTAAGAATAAATAATAAGAATAATATCCCCTGTATTCGTCCCACAGTGGGGAAATTTCAGTGTTGCAGCGCACATACAGGATAGTAGTAAGAGACACAGGGAGCACACAAAATATACAAAATAAGTAGCTGCTATATGTTTCATAGCTAGCTGTAAAATGCTTCAATATCAATATATCGATAAATCTCCATCTATCCATATGTATAGTGTAAAGTTATATACATATAGGGCAGGATATTAAGGAGTGGTTTACGACAGTGTTTTTCAACCAGTGTGCCGTGGTACGTTAGTGTGCCTTGAGATGTTGTTTGGTGTGCCTTTGGAATAACCCAAAATCCCCTTATTGGTCAAAATATGGGACAAAGAATCTTTTTGCTCTCGCTTGATTGTCTATATCAGGGGCGTCCAACTGATTTTGGTCGGGGGCCAAATTTAAAAAGGTTTGAACAGGTGGGTGCCAACAGTGTTTTTCTTTTATAATCATAATTTCTTGTCACTCATTTTTGTATTTTGAGAATATGTTTTGTTATTGTCAAAATAGAAAATAATTTGACATTGGTTTGGATATTATTTTCTGATATTATGTTCAAGAGATGTAATTGGAGATTGGAAGACTGATTTGGGAACAGATATACTTTATACTTGCCCTTATTTTGTCAATGTTAATTTTTTACATCTATTATATTTTCAAGATAGAGATTTTATACTTATTATTGATGCTTGAGTTAGATTGTTTTTATTTTGATTAGTATAGCTTTTGTTCACTTAACGTGTGCCGTGTGCTCCTCTTTCCTACTGTTCTATAACCTGTGATGCAACACAGACATTTCCCCCACTGTGGGGCAAATAAAGGATCTCTTAATCTTAATCTATATATTTGGTTTTATTCCTGAAAAAATAAGCTTTAAAATGAACTATAACATGCCATAGTAATGATAATTGAAAATTATATCAGGGGGTACTAAAAAACTTCTCACACGGGCCTGAGTTTGACATGCTTGGTCTGTATGATACACTCTGAGGAGAATGACTTTAATACAGGCTGCACGGTTTCAAGTTTGTATATTTCAGCTGGTGGTGTGCCGTGGGAAGGTTCTCAATGAAAAAGGTGTGCCGTGGTTCCAAAAGGTTGAGGAACACTGGTTTAGGATACTATCAATGTAATAAATGCAATCAAACAACATTTGGCAGCTGTTTGTGTGCGCTCCAGGCCACTAATATCACAGCTACACAATTACACACTTAGGGTTTGTTGTGTTCAAGTGCTAGAAATTAGATTCATATTTCTCATGAGGATCTGTTCCATGTCTAGTCTGTCTTATTCTTATATTTACCTGTAACAATAATGAAAATCAGAGCAAAACAAATATATTTTATCCTTTAGACTGTATTATTATTGTGTTGTTGTCCCCGCTCCCCTCTCTGTGTGGAGTGAGAGACAAATGCCCGCAGCAATTGTAAAGTGTTTTGTGACTGTGAAAGGCGCAATATGAATAAAGATTACTTTTTAGCGTTTAGTATTTTATAAAACCCACTTTTTATTGGGCCGGTGATCAGTATTCTGTAACTAATTGAAATCATGGATTAGTAATCAATAGAAATGAAAACTTTCGCGCAAAAATGACAAAAGACTGTAATAAGGATCTGAAAATTGTTAATTTTAATTGTCTATTGAGTTTGTTTTTACGATTAAAAGCAAATAAATTTCTGTTTTGTAAGAGATGAGAATCCTGCTCAATCAATGCAAGAATAGCAAGAATATATAAAAAAGCAAATTATGTGTGTTATTCTGTGTCTGCTGACATTTGGACTCGTGTTGTGTGCTTTGTGACATATTGTGACATATTTTGGCTCCGCTTTTTGTTTTGCCTCCAGGGTTTTGTGTCGCTGTAGATCTGTGATGCCTTGTGGTTTCGGCACTGGACAAAAGAGTCCGATCTGTGTGCAGAGAAACACCTCAGACAACAAAGGGGAAAAACAACAGGCACACTGCAAGAAAACAATCTTTCATGCGTTTTCTTTTTAACAAGGGTATATTTATGTGATGTGAAAAGTCTCACTGGCCTGAAAACACAAGACTATTATTTTATATGGTTTACCGCAGGGGTCCTTAACCTCTTTCGACACAACACAATATAGTTTTACATTCATTACAGTCGTTTTACACAAAATAACTGACTGCATATTTCTACCATGTACTTTTCTGTGCCATTGCCTGAAATAAATGAATAAATGAAAAAAAAGGTCTATATAGTCTATATAATATACAGTAACTACAGCCAATCATAGAGAACACACATGCATAATATTCCATTCACAATACCCCATATAGTCCCTGCTGATAAGATTTACAGTTAAAATAGTTGTGTATTGACTCAAAAGTGACATATTTTATTCATTATATTATCTTGTGTGTGGGTGTGTGTGTGTGTGCAGAGCGCCTCAGTCCTCCCCTGGACATTCAGCTGGAGACTGTGAACTGTTCCTCCTTCAGCGTCAGATGGAAGATGCCACGAAGACACGTCAGCACCATCACCGGGTATAAGGTACCACGTTCTAAAACAGTCACATCTGCACCGTGTCTGAATGTGTCTGAACTGCTCCAGCTGCATTTGATCAGAATAGTGATTCATAGTGTAATCTCAAAAGCTGAAGAAGCAAAACAAAGTTGAAAATTGTAGCTGGTCCCAACATGATTGAACACTGGGACTCAATTGTGACGTTTTCCTTTCAAATCAATAGAATTCTAAAAAAAATCCCAATCCCAATCCCAGTTTTTATCTTTAAGTGCTAAAATTGGTTAAAAAAACTTAAATACAAGGCTGAATGTGAACTGCCGTCAAGTAAACATTGTGCTGCTATGGTAACTAGCACTTGCTCCAAGCTCAGACTAGTTCCAGTCCAGTCCCAGCACCCGGAGAATAGTTGATTATGTAAAAAATGTCTACATTGAGTTTTGCACTAAAATCAAAAAGATGGCTCTGGGAGATAAAGGTACAACTACTCACGTCGATAAAAATAAAAGATTACTATATTATACGTATATACAAATACAAGATTATATTCATTATATTACTATATATATCATACATATCCTACATATAATGACAATAACATAATAAAATCCATTTATATATACTGTATTTGTCTGCTAATAGTTGAATCTATGACACGTCTTTAGATCTGCTGTTTCACCCTCATCAGCTCTCAACAATAGCATCAAATACTGACGCACACAGAAAATGTTTTAATAATACTAAGAATCTTTCTGTTGGGACCACGCATGATCTATGACAAAATAAAGCTGCAAAAACACTACAAAAAGTGATGAAAAATAAATTGACAATGTTCCAAATTGCTCAAATTTGGCAACATTTATCTCGATTTGAGCACATTTTGACTGCCTTAAAACCAGATTTGTCAATGGGACAAGCAAAACAAGAAATGACTCCCTTGGAATGAGAAAAAAATGCAACAGTTCTTGAAATAAGACTAAATGGCTTGGTCCCGTTGGCAATTTTTTACCTCATATTTTAGGATTATTTGCAGTGTAAAGATATTTTTTTAAGGTAATACCAATAGCATATTCTTTAGCCCATGTATAAATAGATCCTTGTCGTGCTCACTGGACATTTGCAGTCTCCAGACCATGTGGCACTTGCTTTTGTGCTCTCAGTCCTAATGCATTCGGAAGCTTCTTGACCTGTGAAAAACAAGCTGAGTGCAGCGCGGTGCGTGGACCTTCATATTTATTACCGATGCTCTGTGAAGAAAAACTCGGCCTCGCAAATCAAATCTCCTCCACTTTGCTCCATGCGCCTCGTGTTCGTAAAAAAGAGGCTTGTTAACCAGTGTCCGGAGTAACGGCCTTGGAGAATGGAGTGATATTTGTACATTTTGTGGGTTTGATGGAAAGCTGTCAGTGTGTGAGGGACAAGACCGTAAAGTGCTGGAGAAAGGGTTCGTAAATCTGTGACTATTAAAGCTTCTCTGACTGTGACACATGAAAAATACTTTTCCAACAGTAAAAAGAGTTTTCAAATGCACCCCAATTCCTGATTGGACTAAATAAATGTCCTTTGAATTAAATAATATTAATAACTTGCATACCAGATCCTGTCAGACCTCTGAAGCTGTGCAGGGCAGGGCCTGGTTAGTGCTGTGATGGGAGACCTCTGGGAACACTAGATGCCACAGTGCTGCGGCTGCAAAGTGCCAAACTGCTGTTGTGGGCACAACAATGTTTAGAACCAGGTTAAAAACAGTTCTGATTTATCTTTACTATTTTTTACTGTATCGTGACTATTTATGAATTGAATTCCTTGATCTGAATTTCATTGTTTCCTTTCCTGTTTTGTTGAGCACTTTGAGTTGCCTTTTGTGCAAACTGTGCTATACAAATACACTTGCCTTGCCTAATTCTAAATATTTGACATACACTGTTGTCGGACAATCACGTTCCTGGAGAAATATTCCTCTTGATTTGAGAATGTCGATGTTTCATGTCTTCCAATAACATTCACCAATGGAACTGACTCAAAGGTATATAGGGGGATTTCAACACTATTGGTCCTCCCATTTGTCAATCATTCTGGTGATACGTGCTCGTTAAATAAGACCAGAGAGTTTTGTTCAAAAAGTGGAGAGAGCGGTTCTTTCCTAAAATCTGACAAAATCCTTCTATATGCCTTTAATTAAACTTGCTTTACTCAGTGTTATGTGTGTGTTGTGTGTAATCGGTGACATGTTGTGTGTAATATTAGTAATGAGTGTAATATCAGTAAAGAGTGTATTGATAAAAGCAGGGGTCACTTTGGCTCCGTGCAGCTCGGACCATATGTTTGTTGTAAGAGGATTACTTTACACTCACATTTAAAGTGACTTAAGCGCGATACATTTGGACATTGTTCTGGAGATGCAATAATTACCTGAATTTTCAATTTCACATCAAGGGCCTGAATTTATGTGCGCTGAACTGAGCATAAAAAACAAGTTTGCCAATGAAATAATAATTATAGTTTAAGCGTAGTATGGTTTTTGTATGGGGGGAATATTTCACCCTCTGGATCTAGGATTTTTAAAGGAATGGAAATGCACTTCTTGGCAGAGGTTTGTGGTCTATACGAGCACTTTTCTAGACTCTTTTTTTATACAATACAACTACATCAAGTTTTGCTCTTCAAAGTTAGCAGACCCTTTGACTTTGTCTTTTTCATCCATTTTGCAGTCATGGCTGGGACTAATATGGCAGTGATTAGTCCTATAGCAGTAATATGAAATATATAATTGTATTCTCTTCACCACACAATTGAAAATGAGCAGAAAGGGTTGTGGGTTAAGCAAGACAAGACTAGGCAGGGCAAGTTTATTTGTATTGCACAGTTCATACACAAGGAAACTCAAAAACTATTTATTAACTTGGATTTCAACATTGTCAGAGTAAAAGCCAGTCTTTCATTCGAAGACTGTTCCATATTTTAGCTGCATAAATCCCCATGGTTTGAGCACAGGTTTGATTTCCATCCATCCATCCTCTTCCCCTTAATCCATTTCTGGGTCGGGGGGGGTGGCAGTCAGAGCTGCACCCAGTACACAGAGCACCAGTCCCTCACTGATCCTCCTGCAGGTGGGGAGTCCACAGGAACTGAGATCTTTCAGCGGGAGCTTCAGGCAGAGTGGGGTTAAGTGTTGCCCAAGGATACAACGACAGCAGTCATCAGTGGGAGTCATGAAGTAGGTCTTACGGTGGGCTTGAACCCACGACCTTCAGGCCCAAAGGCCAATGCTCTACCAACTGAGCTACTGTCGCCCCGTCCGTCTTGAATCCGTCAGACAGACAGAGTTAGACAGAGTTAGACAGAGTTCTGGAGACTTCGTTCATATAGTTGTACTAGCATTCACATTTTCAAGTCCTCTGGATCCAGCTTTAGGCGTAGAGGCGTTATCCCATCATCCTGCCATGAAACAGGCAATGGGTGAATAGCAATGAACAGACTACAGCTGAATTCATAATGATGACAGGTAAAGTATGGGAGAGGAAAGAATAGTGCCTAAGTTACCAAACTTTTTCCAGAAAAGTGTCTCCGTTTGCTGCTTGACTGAAAAACATATTCATGTTCGGAAACGTGAAGTGCCTCAGTGTGTGATGTGTTTTCTCAGGTTTTCTACACCGAGGTGCGGGGAGGGCGTCCGTCAGGCTCAGCGTCTGTCATGGAGGTCCCTCTGAGTTTGGACATGTTGACCACTGTGAGTACAAACATTCTTTATACAAGACATTGTCAATCGTCTAGATTCAACATCATGTTTTTGGCTTTCTCTTTCAGGGTCAATTCGATGGACAGGCCAGTTTTGTAAGTGTCTCTTTTATTTGTATTCCACTTTGTCATTCCACAATTTAAATAATTTCTCGAATTTCAATCAAAATTCTGGGGAAGAAATCTTTGCAGCTCCTTTGTCCACTTGTGATCATGGACTTTACAAAGAGTGGACTAAACGAGTGCTGACGTCACTAATGGAGTTTGAGAGAAGCAGAAGAAGCTAGTTTAGAACAACATTTCTTATATGGGCATTTGTTACGACGGTGTGACCTACTCGCTGCAGCAGGGGCAGATGTCAATCTAACGTGTTGCCCAGACAGGTTTACTCCAGCAAATAAAAGCATCTGATTGATAAAATAAAACAAAACACCAGGATTTTGAGAGTGATAAATCATGGATCTTTAACCCTTTAACGTTCACTCTTATATATTTTTTAATTTTATTTATTATAGGCCTTTACCAAAGGGTTGATATGCAGTTTGATGGTAAAAGTGCTTAAAACTAAGTGAGAATCCCCAAAGAGGTAGATTTCAGTGCCAAGCTTAAAGTACTTTAGTGACTCAAAACGTGATCTACAAATTGTTTTTTTGAAATGTTGTGAATGTGACAAACGGTTACTTTGCTTTGAGGAGTTTACTCTTCAATGTCAAAGTCAGAAGGAGCCAGAGCCAGTTAGATGAGCTCTTCTCTATTATGCTTCGTTGTGATAGCGGGTTTACATGGTCCATCTATAGACTGTGTATGTGTAATGTAAGCCTCATTAACAGGTCCATCTTTGGTGAATGCTAGAAAACACTTAACAGAGTGGATTGACTCTTCAAATACTAAAACCGACACGGCGACTAGAGGAAAGTACTCTGGATGGAAGCCTGTAGGGTCATCTCAGTCAGTGCACCGTCTGAACCGTTTTCCTCTGTGGCAATCATGCTTCTCTCTCCAATTTGAGGCAATACTTTTCAAGATCAATCCTTCTCCTGTACATTTATTTGAATGTCGAGTCTACAAAATGGCAGATAACAGCATGATTGACGGTGATTGGGAAAATGTGTGAGAGTGGGGAATGTGGTGATTTCTGTGTTGTTGTGATGTGTTGTGTTGTGACCCTGAGCTGCTCCTCAGGACGTGGTGGTGGGAAACCTGAAGATCAACACAAAGTACAGTGTCAGCGTGGGAGCGTACGGCTGGGCAGGGGAGGGCCGAGCCAGCGTGCCCCGGGACGTGAGCACCGCCACTCATGGTAAGAACGCACACGGTAAGAACACACACATGGTAAGAATGCACAGACACAGATAGACACACACAGAAAGACACTCACACATGCACACAGCCCACACACACACACACACACATGCACAGAGCACACACACACACACACGCACAGAGCACACACACACACACACATGCACAGAGCACAAACACACACACACACACACACACACACACGCACAGAACAAAGCACTAACCGACTAACTTCAGTTTCCAGCTGTGACATTACATCCAGTCCTTAAAGTGAGTTATTTTTTTGTCTATTTTGGCTCAGGTATTTAAACACATTTTGTTTAAGTGTTTGGAGTTTGTCACCAATATTTTCACTTTTAATGCGAATTGATATTGTATTGGTTGGAAGTCTCCATCCCCAGTTCTCTGTAGTGTGTATTCCCCTTTAACACCTTGGTTTCTTCTGTGCTCGTTCTGCTCTTCTGTTTCCGCTCTGATGGTAAAGCCTGTGAATTCCAGGGCCACCTTGCATGAACCATGCATTCGAGATTTCCCAATATCAGCTCAATTATGTCATAGAAAACATAATGTTTTAACAGTACGGCTTCACACACTAACAATGAGTGAAAAAAAAAAATCATCAATAAATCTCCTTTTTAATATGTAATTAAAAAGGGCATTGCTGCCTTGGTACAAAAACTTTCCTACTTCCTATATTTTTCTGGGTAAAGATCCCAATATTAAAATAGATACTTGTGGTCCACCTGAGCCTAATGTGTAGAAAATCCTAATCTTGTGAAATGTTCTGTATCCTGCAGATATGTGCATGCCCCCCACGCCCCCCACCACTCCGCTGGTGACCCCCGTCTCCGACACCGAGCTGGCATTGTCGTGGCAACAGGGAGAGAGCGAGGGGAGCGCGCCCATCCAGCACTTCTTGGTCGCATACATCAGGTAAAAAGAGCTTTTAGCCACGTCACAACGGTATTACGCATCAGAAATAGACCTGGTTTTTTTTTTTTTTTTTTTTTTAGAACCACCCACGTTAATATTAGAAACTATCTGGGACAAACATGTGACTCCGCCCCTTCCGTCTAAAAGTCTCAAACCTACACTGATATGATGCATCATGGATCATGGTCTCAGTTATTAACTTAACTTTGTAAAAAAATCCCAACAAATAACTAATTATATTCCTTCCCATGTTCTTAGCAAAGGGAGCTACAGATAGATGGCATTTTTTACCCTTAAGAATTGTGAAGTACACAGAGAGTTGCAACGCTATCAATAATAATAATAATAGTAAAAGAAATATTTCTATGGTGCCTTTCTAGATACTCCAGGTCGCCTTACAGAACAAGTAAAAAGTACAGTGGGGCTGGGTAGCTTTCAGACCCTGCCGATCCAATGCACAATATGATAAATATTTAGTTACAGGGGACTTTCAATTTCATATGATTCATTTAAAAAAATACAATATGATTCAGTAAAAGAGAATATTTCAGGCTCTGCCACATGAACAAAAATGCAACACTATTGATGCATTTTATATTTAATTTGAATAGTTATTCAAGTCAAAGCATCCGGACAAACTCTACAGTATATATGTATGTTTAATCTGAAAATTGGAGATATCAGAATAAAATAATTCCTATCACTCGATACAAATTTAACTAAAATCAATAGCGCATCTAATTTTGAAAACCACTGATTATATGCAGCTTAAACGTTTGCATTTTTTTTACATTTGCGTTACAACAACAAACATAACCATTTTGGATTGCACAGCTGTGAAGAGAAAGCAAAATTATATGTTCTGTCAACTTTTATGCAACAATATTGTATTCAGTGCTTATGACTCCCCTCCTGCCAAGCTGCTTTTGGCTTTTGTCACAGCAGGAGCTGCACTAAACGTTCTAAATGAATGCCACCTTTATTCTTCAGAACAAAAACCAATATGGAACAACACTCTCTTTATTGACACTAAAGCAGGGAAGTAGTATGTACAGATCACAGAACCATTATATGTGATGAGAGAGATCACATTATGTTTTTTTCTGGAAGTGTTTTGCATGACATTCTTATCCAATATCTTACAAGAGAAAAGCACATTTTGAAGACACTTCTCTCTAAACGTCACTGACATCCCATGACGAAGCTGCACACAAGATCTTTGTTTGGTCCAAAACAAGGGCTTCCTCTTCTCTTCGGGCCAGACTGCTGTCACACACATGTGGCTCCAGGCTCCAAGCGACACATCAGTCACATCAGTCACATCAGTCACATCTCATTGTGAGCAAGAAAATCCGTAAACTAATGTGCTCTCCCAGTCTTTGAGCATTTTTCAGACGAATAATTGGACACTTATTCTGCTGGTTGAAACTGATAACGTTTAACATGCACCAGTGATGGAAAGACTGGTGCAAACAAATAACATACAGGCTGCTGATAATAGAACTTTTTCTGCTGAACAACAACGACGACGACAACAACAACAAGTTACACATTTATTTCCTGTAACTGTATTAAATCAGCTTGATCTGTTCTGCCATAGACCAGGGAGTGTCAAACTCATTCCGGTCAGGGGCCGAATGAGAAAAATAAGAACTGATGGGGGCCGAAAAAATAGAATGGATTTCGTTTCTTGTAATAGTTTGATACAGTATGAAGGTATTTTGATGTGATATGAGTTTGACTATTATTTTCTGGTTGATTTTTCTGAAAACAAAATGTTTCAACTTCTAATTATGTTAAAACATAAAAATGGACATGCCTTGGTAGCGCAATACCATCAACGGTTAGGTAATAATAATAATTGAATGCAAATCCATCCATCCATTTTCTATCCATTTCTGGGTCAGGGGGGTGACAGTCAGGGATGCCACCCAAGTCTCATAGCACCAGCCCCTCACTGACCCTCTGCAGGTGGTGAGTCCACAGGAGGACGGCTGCTCTCTGAGTGTGAGCATAGCCTTGATCTTTCAGTGGGGGCTTTGGGCAAAGTGGGGTTAAGTGTCTTGCCCAAGGACACAACGACAGCAGTCATCAGTGGGAGTCGGTGGAGAAGGTGTAGAGGTGGGAATTGAACCCACAACCTTCAGGCCTAAAGGCCAATGCTCTGCCAACTGAGCTACTGTCGCCCCTGCATGCAAACAAAAAATGTTATTTTGATTTTGACATGTCTGCCAAAGTTGCCTCTTTTTAAAAAGTGTCTAATCTGTATAACTGCTAGCTTGCGTTAGAATGTTTAAACATATTTTAATGGTGTAGTGTGGAGGTGAACATTGTGCAATAGAGCCTTGAACGTAGAAGAATAAACATTACTCAGTCATGCATGCATCATCTTCATCATTTGAACAATTTTAAATACATGTATTTAAGTGAAGTGATTTCCTAAAGGATAATGTCATACATGTCTTGGATCATTCTCTGTCTAAGTAGACCCTCCTGCATTAACAAGGAAAACTCAAAAACCCAGTGGGTCAATAAGGAGAAACGTCCGGGAGACCCACAATGAGAGAGGATGTGCAGTAGCACATTAGCAGTGTTTTTCAACCAGTGTGTTGTGGCATGTAAATGACTGTGTGCCTTGTAAATGACTGAATATCACCTGTTTGGTCAAAATCATGTGAAAAGAAAATTATGTGAGACGATTAGAAAGATTTTGCTTGGTTGATTTCCTTTATAATACACATTGATGATAATGACTTTGCTCTGTTAATAAAGGCTGTAGAGTTTAAATGCTAAAGCAAATTCAGTTTGTGGTGTGCCATGTGCTTTTTTGCAATGACAAAAGTGTGCCACAAAGTCAAAGTCAAAAAAGTTGGGGAAAGCCAAAATGTTATCATCACTGTTTAATTTTGGAAAAGTATTCTTTTCCAAGTTGGCCAAATCTGCATACATTTTCAAATCTATGTTTAATATAAAAAGCAACTTATAATTTGGCTCCTGCTCCACTCGCGAGTCTAATGAGTCAAAGAAACAGTAGTGAGCAGCTCACTAGAGGCTCCGTGAGAGGCGACCATGTGATCCCTCTGCGTAAGAGCACCTTCAGTCAGTCTGCCTGGTCTGTTAGAGGCACCAGAGAGTGGAACTCACTACCACAGACTGTTAGACAGCAGAGCACATACAGGGCTTTTACACTGCACCTAAAGGAATGGATGGTAAACACATACACCTGCGCTCATTGATGTACGATATGCTTTAGTCTTGTAAATAGTGTTTTCTTGAATGTGTCAACACTATAATGATAGTCTTGATTGATGTTGTTCCAGTCTTGTATTTTTGTCATGTTAATGTATTTAATGGCTTTTAAAATAGGGGGACTACAGATGAAAAATAGCCTCCTTAGCTAATTTTAAACTCATGTTTAATCATGTGTTTTATTAAATTGCATTGTCCCATTTGAAATAAACTAAACTGAAACATGGTCACTCAGGCTCGCCAATGGTAGGTTAAAAGCTATTAGAATAAAATGTAATCCTCTTCTTTATTCTCTCACAGGCCAGAGATGGACACAGAGTGGACCTACATCCGTGAGCCCATCCAGAGTAGCTCCATGGTCCTGAAGGGGCTGCTCCCTGACACACAGTACCAGTTTGTGGTGCGTGCGGTGAACATCCACGGCATGAGTCCTCCGAGTCACATCAACAGCCCTGTGCGCACGCTGGGTAAGTGTTTGTATAAGGCTTTACTGCCACACACAGCAGCTGGGCTCGATCTCATATTATTGTTCTGATGTACCTCCCTGGCTTCCAGTTCAGGCCTGGTGTCATGTGGCGAGATGAAGGAGGACCCATATAGGAATGCAACTATAATGATTTCATGATGATGATGATTAAATTAAAGTACAAGGTAAACACAAACCATGGATCCAAAATCCAAAATGAAACACGGCAGGAACGAGGAAAACAGGCGAACAAAGACAAACAAAGACTTCATCTTCTTTCATTTGCTGGTGGGTGGCAACCAGCTGCTTAGGTGCATACTGCCACCTACTGTCTCTTTTGTCTCAGGATACTAGTACTTCAGGTTACATTCTGATGCATACTGCCACCTTCTGCATTCATGATTATCAAATGTGTATTTTCACTGCAGCGTGTCCTGGAGAGAATGGCGCACCACGTGACGACTCTGCTTTAATTTTAACTTCCATTTTTTGTCCTTCATGCAATTATAAATCTGCTACACAGCACTGTCTGTTCATATCGATCACATCACAGGCTGAAGTTTGCTGGAGCTGAATTAATGTCCTTAATGGCCCTTTTCTTTCACCGTTTTTGTGGAGGTTTTTGAATTCTGAAAATTGGTGCTATGATTTTTTGATGAATGAATCCTTCACATAATCACCGTGAACGGTGTTTAGCGCTTCATTTTTCCTCGTGTTGCAACAAAACTTTTCATTACAAACATGAAGCAGTCCTTCCTCATTGACTGAAAGCAAATGTTCATTCTTATTCTTAGTCCAGTTTTATTATCAACTCTTTCTCTTTTTAGCTTTGGGATCCATGCGCACACGCCGGTTTGTTTACCACAGCGGCCGCCTTGCGCTGGGCCGCGTCACAAGATATGACGCCCTACAGAAATGTTGAAATTGAATATTACTTATGCACATTATTACAGCATTTAAAAACGTTAAGAATGTATTTCCTCCTACAGAAACTACATTCAAACAAGAAATAAAATATAGCCCTCCCACTCCATTTTCAGACATTGTTGAGAAGGCTCCAGGAGCCACTCGAGGGGCACTAAAGAGCCGCATTCGGCTCCGGAGCCGCAGGTTGCCGACCCCTGTTCTAATGTATGTGAAAAAAACAAATAAACAAAAACAATACTTTATGAAACCTTAAATCCCATCAGTGCCCTCATACTCTTGACAGACAAAGACAATGGACCAGCAACAAATGAGAAAGAGCACAGGTACAAATAGACACAGAGAGACACAGGTACATATAGACACAGAGAGACACAGGTACACACAGACAGACACAGGTACATATAGACACAGAGAGACACAGGTACACACAGACAGACACAGGTACATATAGACACAGAGAGACACAGGTACACACAGACAGACACAGGTACATATAGACACAGAGAGACACAGGTACATATAGACACAGAGAGACACAGGTACATATAGACACAGACAGACACAGGTACATATAGACACAGAGAGACACAGGTACATATAGACACAGAGAGACACAGGTACATATAGACACAGAGAGACACAGCTACAGTGCCTTGCAAAAGTATCCGCCCCCCTTGAACCTTTCAACATTTCGCCACATTTCAGTCTTCAAACATAAAGATGACTGTAGTTATCTGCAGTTCATCCAGAGTGATCATGGGCCTCTTGGCTGCATCTCTGATCAGTCTTCTCCTTGTTTTAGATGAAAGTTTGGAGGGACGGCCGGGTCTTGGTAGATTTGCAGTGGTCTGATACTCCTTCCATTTCAATATAATTGCTTGCACAGTGCTCCTTGAGATGTTTAAAGCTTGGGAAATCTGTTTGTATCCAAATCCGGCTTTGAACTTCTCCACAACAGTATCTCGGACCTGCCTGGTGTGTTCCTTTGTCTTCATGGTTCTCTCTGCGCTTTAAACAGAATCCTGAGACTATCAAAGAGCAGGTGCATTTATACGGAGACTTGATTACACACAGGTGCATTCTATTTATCATCATCAGTCATTTAGGACAACATTGGATCATTCAAAGATCCTCACTGAACTTCTGGAGTGAGTTTGCTGCACCGAAAGTAAAGGGGCCGAATAATATTGCACGCCCCACTTTTCAGTTTTTTATTTTTTTAAAAAGTTTAAATTATCCAACAAATTTCATTTCACTTCACGATTGTGTCCCACTTGTTGTTGATTCATGACAACAAATTAAACATTTTTATCTTTATGTTTGAAGACTGAAATATGGCGAAATGTTGAAAGGGGGCCGAATACTTTTGCAAGGCACTGTACATATAGACACAGAGAGACACAGCTACACATAGACACAGAGAGACACAGCTACATATAGACACAGAGAGACACAGGTACATATAGACACAGGTACTGTACATATAGACACAGAGAGACATAGGTGAAACACATGAGGGCGGGGCAGACAGTTTAGCACAGTTGAACAGGACAGGAAGTAAAACAAAACCTCACAGAACTGATGTCAAACTAAACCCAAGTATCAAAATAACAATCCCCAGCATGACACCTGATTGACTTTATTTTCATTGTGCTTGTTTATAAATCTCTCAGTTCCTCGTGTGAGACTGAAAGGTGAGAGAAGCTGCTTTTTGTGCTCATCGTAAATGGAATGCTCTGCCTCTTGATAATAAATGTGTTCCGAACTCATTTCAGACTAAACTAAAACGAGTCTCTTACCCTCGGGCAGTGATTAGTTTCGGTTACCAGGTTCCTTGTGAAGTTGTGGTTTCTTGCATAAAATGTTATATATGAATACAATTTCTTCAATACTATACATAGAAGAAGCCAAACCTACACCCAGGGAAAAAACAGGAATAGTTAGACCTATATGACAGAACAGCATGGGACAAACCACTGCTTACGTTTCACATTTATTGATAGATAGAAACAACTTGATTCAAAATGTGTAAGTGAGGGTATGTGTATCAACCATAGACTGTATATATTAACGAATAGAGTCACGCCTATCTCCGCCGTTCTAACTAATGGGCCAAAAAATGTGCTCTACTGGAGCTATCCAAAATGGCAGCGAGTGGTCCCGCCCACAAGAAAATTGTGAAAAAACGCATCTGGGTTTTGGGCCAAGAGCCAACTTTTGGTCCATCCTGTAAAGACGTTTTTGAGAGGTCTGCCAATGCTATATGTTAGCATTGGCTAATTCTTCTTCTGGGTCCACCCCCATCGGCCCGGGGTGGTATTGCAAGCATGTCAGCGCACGTCATTTTGGCCACTTTTGAGCCGGGACCCGCCCCCACTGGTCTCAACATGCATAAAGCACATGTTTTGGTATTCCAATGTGGTTTTACTGCAAATGGAAAATAAACCTTATGCACATTACTAATACATGAGCCGTGGATCCCTCTGAAAATCTCGTCTCAGATGTCTCCAGTTGCCTTCAAAACATAATTTCAAAGATTATTTAAAAAAAATTCCAGTCCCTGTAGAAGAAATATTCAGGACAAATGTCTTGAGTACCAAAGTGGGCTCTTAAACTGATGTTCTGCTGCTTTCAAATCATTAGAAGCAAAGTGTGGAAAAGTGGATAAGGACTGAGCGTACAAGACGTACAATCAGTGTTCCAAATTCGCCAATATGGAAAAGGCTTTTTAAAAGTAGTGCGCAGCCGCCTGGAGGTTTGGTGCAGGACTGGTTGGCACGAGTACAAGGCAGACAAAAAAGCCAATACGCTTTTACACATCTTCCTTTCCCCCTCAAGTTTAGAGCATTGGTTCCCAAACTTTTAATTCCATGTACTCCCTCGCCAGCAAAAACATGGTTTAAGAATCGGAATCAGAATAATTTTTTTTGCCATTTTAAGTTACAGGAAGTCACAAACTAGGAATTTGGTTTGAAGTAAAAATAGGTAAATGGATCCATAGAAATAAAAATCTTCATAAAATGTCAAATGTCATACAAGTGCGCTAAGAACACAACAGACATTTAGCAGTTAAGAGATTAAAAATAAATATTTTCCTGTACTCCAGTCAGGGCCACATCACAAAACCACTTTAGCCTGTGCTTTTATACCAAGCATCATTTCCTCTGTTGAATTATTTTTGTGTTGCATCCACATAATCTTTATTGCCTTTACCTATTTTACATTTGTTATTTTCTTTATGAAGGTTTTTTTGTCCAAATAAATGCTTTTATTTCGCTTGAGTTTTAGATAATTCTGAACAAAATGAGAGGTTCATGCTTGGACTGAACCAAAACAGGACCAGAAAAAGAAAAGCTTGTTAATGCAGACTGATTGATGAGTTAAGCCTTTATTGTCTTCAGATGGAGTCATTTGTTTTAGTCATTAGAGGTACAAGAAAAAAAAACCTCTAATGATTACAGGACAACACATAATTGACCAAGTATTATTATTAATTGCATTCTTGGTTAAATGTTTATAATTAACACATTATTTGGTTGTTTTCTTGAGAATGTAGTATTTCAAAGTATTTATAATATGTCACAGTTCCATTTAACACAACTATCAATGTTTGCAAGTAAATAATAAGGCTTGAAAATCATTTGAAGTACCCCTTATGATACCCCTGCCTTTAGTTCACGTATCCCTGGTTTGGAACACTGCATTCTAGTCCCCATTGCTCTGGTGATCCCCGCTTCACAAACCCACTGATCTGTATGCAACTGTGTATCCCCTCAATCTGTGTGGATTATTGAGCTGGTTGTTTTGACAATTTGGCTCAAATGAGAAAAAAACAATTGTAATTTCTCATGAGACTGTTGATCATGCTGTGGATCTACTTCAATAACAATCAGACGGACCATAAACCAGTGAGCCATCTGGGACGCTAATTAGTCAAACCTAATGGCATTAAATCCTCAATAGTAGAGATAGATGGTGGGGGCTCAGCAGATAATCTGGTGTTGTGTAACAAACAATCCCCCCACAACCATAGCACACGGTCTGCAGCCATAACTCATTAAGAAAAACGACATATTTATAACAAGGAAATACATGCATGGAAAGTCAAAGTCATAGTCATAGCCTTCTTGAGATGTATTAGTTGTGTATGCATAAAATAACATATTTACCTAAATGTAGTGAATGAAGTGCAGTGTGTTTGGTTGTTGGAGAGGAGGCTTGAGGCTCACAGACTTAATCCTGTCTGATGAGCCCCGCTGTGAATGCTCTGCAGCTCTGTGTGTTCGTGGACCGTGAGGAGGGCAAAGCTCACGGTCAGATCACTGCATATCACTGTTTGAACTGTGACCTTTTCACACTCACCCTGCGGCAGGGAAATTACAACCCTTTAGAGGAAGAAAGCTGCTCCAGAATAGACAGTGTCCAGAAGGGAGTGACAGTCGTGGTCCATAGACCTCTGTGTCCGGGGGTCAGCCCTGACAGGAGCTGGACTTCCTGATGACCTTGTCCAGCTTCTTTCTGTCCCTCTTTGTGAAGCTGCAGCTCCAGCAGACCACAACATGGCGGATGCCACCACAGCTCTTCAAGAGTGGCCCCTGCACTCTAAAAGACCTAAGCCTCCTCAATCAATCTGTTATTTGTATAGCGTCTTTTCAATAGAAGGCAACACAAAGTGCCTCACAACCCATTTCACATTAAGCATAAATCATAAACATTAAAAAATACAATAATGCCCTGTGGGATTTTGATAAGTATGATAATAAATAATAAATTTGATCTTCTCTTATTTTACCTTATCTTAAAAACAAATGTTTAGATCACAAGACATTTTAAAAGCATTAAAAAATATATATAAATAAATAAATGGAACTCATCGTGTCATATTTAAGATAAGATAAACCTTTATTAGTCTCACAGTGGAGAAATGTCAGTGTATTTAAATTTCTGTGTATTCAAAAGCACATGTCTGTTTAGGGGTGTCGGACGTGGGCAGTGCAGACTACGGTCTCTACAACACCGACCTGGGTCCAGACGCTGACAAATTTGACGTTGATGACACCGATTACGACGTTTTCATTGAGGAGGTGGGTTCATGGTCAAAACCTCAACATCTCCTTATCCCTTTGTTCGCTCATTGGCTCTGGGGGGGGGGTAAGCAGTACCATTAAGCAGTGGGGGTTGCAAGTTGGTTTTTCAAGGGATATTTAGAAGGTCACAACTGAATCCCTCAATTTGATCAAAATACATGTAAGCTAGGCTAAAGCTGTTGAATGAAGGAAGGGACATCTCTGTTTTTGATCAGTTTTATATAATTTTGTTCCCTGTAAACCTGAAAAAACGCTGACCAGTCCTGTATCTGTAGTTTTCTCTTTTGTCTCACTGGTTTGTTTTTTGTGTTTTAAAGCTGGATCCATTCCCAGGGATTCCTCAGGACAACCGGAAGTCCCAGCTGCGCTCCCACATCGGACCGCTGAGTCGAAATGTGGTTTACCGCATGAACCCAATCATCAACTCCACCGCCGCTCCAAGCTTCCCCTCTGCACCAGACTTCACAGACCTGCTGTTTCCCACTGAGCCTGAACTCACCACAACCACTACTACTACTACTACTTCTACGACTACTAGTACCACCACTGAAGCTACTACTACTACTGAAGCTACTACCACTACTGAAGCAACTACTACCACAACAGCCACCACTACCAGGTACTGCCCATTTTAATGTACGAGTCTTTTCAAAAAAACAATATTTCATTAGTAAGAAGTAGATTCGTTTCAATGCAGATAGATGTGTAAAGTGGGAGTACCTAGCTTTCAAAACATAAAGGAATTGAGCATCAAAGTCAACTAGTTCTTCGCTCTCTAAACAGTTCTGTGTTTTTTGGCCATTCGATCAGCTTTTTAAGTTCTCAGCCAATCAGCCCAAAGCATCAAATACTGACTCAAAGTTTCTTATAAATATGCAAAAGATAAAATGTTTCTATTGAGATGACATCAACACGTGATGGTCTGGTTTGTAAGTTTTATTCCTTTCTGTTGGGACAAAGAAAGTGTATGATTCTTGATAATTACCCAGTTGAGATGAACAATAAGAGTAGTGCACCCTACGATCATATAATGGTTGAGGATATTGATCAAAATCATTCTAAAAGTGGTGTATTTTAGAAGTTATTTTTAATTGCCCCTTGGGGATAAATAAAGTGATTGATTGATTGATGATTGATTATTTTCAGTCTTATTAATGTGAAAAAACAATTATAGCACAGCAGAACTTGGATCTCTCAACTTGTATTCAATGACACCACATAACCACATATCCTGTATCCCAGTACACTCCCCCCCACCACAGTCCCGCCCACTTTGTCACCATGGCGACAGGGCGACGTACCCCGAGTCTACGACCTGACCTGTGATGACACGGTGTGCCCCCCGGACAGCTTCTGCCTCAGCGACTATGAGAGCGGGGGCTCCAGATGTCACTGCAACCTGGGGTATCAGGGAGATCTGTGCAACCAAGGTACCATTACAACTACAGTACTACTGCAATAGGCCTCATATTCTGGTTACTGGAGAGACTTGAAGAGGCAAAACAAGGGTTATATTAGAATTGTATAATGGTTGGCATTTAACTGACACTGCAAATTAAATTTATTGCATGCCGTTTTTGAAATGTGATTTAAGATTTGGCGCTTAGACCACGGCAGAGCACGGCATGATGATTGTGAGATTAATCCCAAGGACCTACACCCTGGTGGTGATAGAAAAAGCTGGCCTGGAATTAGGCAGAGATGGGGAGGAGGTGGGTTTCTGCATGAATGAAGCTTCCTTGCGATATGAAGCTTGATGCAGGGCGAAGCTTGATACTACTTCCATATTTACTGTTACAAATACCAGATGCCACACTGGACGACTGCAGCTCTAAAGTACAAACTGTTATTGACAACTTAAAGGTTCCATGCTTTTCTTCATGTTTCACAGTCAATCCTATGCACATGTGTGATAGTAATTTGAGTGATACACCACGCAACATTCAAAACTTGTGAGATTATATCCATATCTTGTATAGAGGTGACTTCACCTCGACTCGAACGAGCTGATTCAGAGAGGAGTCTGCTCCTCTGTCCATGAGCCCGTCTCCCCCCGCCCGCACGGTGACCTAGCATCACGCTGCGAGTTGTTTATCCTCCAGCTCATAGTCATTTCAGACCTGAGAATAAACTTTTTCCAACAATGACAATCCGTAACATTGAGCCCTATGTCTTCTATGCACAATTATACCCTAATTATTTAGAAGCATGGGTGTGCTGTCAGATTCAAAATGTAATAGTATTAATAGTTTAATACTACTTTAATAAATTAATTATAATAGTAAGATTGCGCTCAGGGAGTACTTGTGATTTAGCAAAGGACAGAAACCATAAGAATTTACAATTTTCTGTCCCCTGTTATTTAATGCAGACAAATTCAATTAGATCATTATCAATCAACTGCTAATAATAACATTGGGCTTTAAGGAAAGTGTTACTGATCCTCGTTTAAAAAATAATCTCATTTCCATTCAGCTGTGACCATCAACTTCCCCCGTTTCTATGGATTCTCGCACATGACATTCGAGCCCCTGAAGAACTCCTACCAGACATTTCAGATCACACTGGAGTTTAAGGTGATTTCTTTATCTTATCTTGGCTTCAGTATTCTTCTGGCCTGCATGAAAATGGACTGTGTGTGTGTGTGTGTGTTTGTGTGTTTGTATGTGTGTGTTCAGGCAGACTCTGAGGATGGCCTGCTCTTGTATTGTGGAGAGAATGAACACGGACGAGGGGACTTCGTTTCTCTGGCTCTGCTCCGCGGAAAACTACACTACAGGTAAAGATCTGTATTTATTATTTGCAATGTAAGTCTCCTCGCCTGAAGATCGTCATGACGGGAACTCCCTGATGTACCATATTCAAATTGCTTACCCTCCCAGCTAGACATGATTTTGGCCGTAATTGAGAGATGTGCAGTTCATGCAAGGCAGGCCAGGAATTTACACAAGCAGCGCAATCCACTGCAATAGCTAGTTTCATTGCAGAACACAACTTGTATAGAAAATATAAACAGTCATAGTTCTTTACCAAACAAAGAAAAATACATTGAATATCTCAATAAAAATGTATAATTCAAACTCCAATCCAAAGCACTATACAAGTATTAATCACTATTATATTTTCCGTTATCGTTCCAAACATTTGCAATTTATGTATAAGCACACTAGAGAAACACAATCAAAGGGTAGGAGAGGGTTCATTCAGAGAAACAGAAGTCAATTAGGAGTGTTCGTTGTACAGTCCGACAGATAGTACTACAGAATAATGGCAGATGAACTATGTGGGTACGTTGATGTAATATTATGTTCGTATACAATGCAGCAACCTTACTGCTAGTTCAGGTCTCCTTTGTATAATCTGGATTACCCATGACCTCTCTATCAAAATGATGTTATAAGTCGGTGTGATATCGCGGTTCACAAAGGCCCGTCTCCTCAGGTTTAACTGCGGGACCGGGGCGGCGCAGATCGTCTCCGAGAGCCGCGTTGTGATTGGTCAGTGGCACAGCGTGACTCTGTTCAGGGACGGCATGAGCGGCTGGCTGCGATTGGACGACGATGAGACAATCTCCGGACGATCACAGGTGCCTCTCTCACACCTTATAACTCTTAAAAACGTTTCTACCTTTTTCTAATTCATTTACATGTTTCACTTTTTTTTCCTGATGAGTTTAGCTGGAATAGTATTTCTAAAGCTTTTTTTGTAAGATTTTTGCTCAATATATGTACTTTAATTTGGATGCATTTACAGTCTATTGTTTTATGGCACTGAAAAAGGTCATGTACATTAATGTCAGTTACTTTTTTAAACAAGGTTAGACCCGCCCATACTCACAAAATCTGGAGGCCCTGTTATTGGTTTAACTGTTACTCTCCAGCAAGTTTTACTGGTGGTAGTTATAATGAGATGGACTGTTTTAGATACATAACTGTTGCAAATGACTTACTGTAAATAATAGTACAGTGTCCCTCGGTTAGAAATATGCATAAAAAAGTAATACACATATAGTTTCTGACATTCCCTTTAATTCTGTCCATTAAAAACAGAAAAATCCATGTATGTAACTATGCCCTGCTCTAAAGCAGTTTAGTCACATTTATAAATCAGACATTTCAGACAGAAACGTGAAAAAGAGAGGACCAACTTTGACCACCTTCACCCAGCCAATCAGCTCGCAACCAATAGTGTGAAATGGTGACTCACAGAGCTCTTTCTGACATGTAAGCGAAAGATAACATGTTTTCTAAGCATGTTGTTTCCACCAGCTCGACTCGACTCGATTCGGTTTGAGAGCGTTTCCATCGCCCCTGTGTTAATTATTAACATTAGGGGAAAAGGGCTGTTTCTAGACTTTTCGAACCAGACAGACACGTTTTGGCGTATAAAACCAGATACTTTTGCATTTTATGGACACTTACCATTCCTCTCAAACTCAACATCCTGAGATCCTTTATGTGTCCCACAGTGGGGAGCACACAGCACAAGATAAATTAACTCTATCCTGGAGTTTTGAACTCTGAATTGTATAGCGCTTTGGGTGACCATGGTCTGTAAAATGTGCTATATAAATAAACATTACTTACTTACTTATTTACTCAACATACTCTAACCCAGGGGTGTCAAACTCATTTTGGTCCGGGGCCACATACAGCCTAATCTGATCTCAAGTGGGCTGGACCAGGAGATGCTCTACAAAAATATCCAAAAACGGTACAAAGTCCAACTTTTTGTGCACATAAACACTTATTAAAAACTTCCTTTAAAACACTGTCCTTTAATACTCAGTTTTCTTTTACAAACTTAAATGTAACAGTGAGTTTTTCATAGTGCAAATAATGTAATGTATTTACAATATTACATTGAAAATGGTATTTCACAGTATGTATATTAATATGTGTATGTTAGCTTTGTTTTAAGGCTCATTACAGAGAAAACTTGCTCACAAAGGTAAGGCAGATAGAAAAGCACTTTAACAAAGCACCTCAGCTTAACCATCTTCAGTGTGGTAAGGTCCATGGTTATGTTATTATCACATTAACCATCTTCAGTGTGGTAAGGTCCATGGTTATGTTATTATCACATTAATCATCTTCAGTGTGGTCAGGTCCATGGTTATGTTATTATCACATTAACCATCTTCAGTGTGGTAAGGTCCATGGTTATGTTATTATCACATTAATCATCTTCAGTGTGGTAAGGTCCATGGTTATGTTATTATCACATTAACCATCTTCAGTGTGGTAAGGTCCATGGTTATGTTATTATCACATTAATCATCTTCAGTGTGGTAAGGTCCATGGTTATGTTATTATCACATTAACCATCTTCAGTGTGGTAAGGTCCATGGTTATGTTATTGTCACATTCACCATCTTCAGTGTGGTAAGGTCCATGGTTATGTTATTATCACATTAACCATCTTCAGTGCGGTAAGGTCCATGGTTATGTTATTATCACATTAATCATCTTCAGTGTGGTAAGGTCCATGGTTATGTTATTGTCACATTAACCATCTTCAGTGTGGTCAGGTCCATGGTTATGTTATTGTCACATTAACCATCTTCAGTGTGGTAAGGTCCATGGTTATGTTATTTTACATAAATGAGCCGCGGGCCTTGTCAAATCTCTTGGCGGGCCGGTTCCAGCCCGCGGGCCGTATGAATGACACCCCTGCTCTAACCTAATAAAGAAGCAAGTCTAAAACCTCTGACTTTAGCATAAGAAAAGCCTATAAAAAAACTGTATATTCTACTGCAAGAAATAAATAGTTTAATACATCTGTACTTACAGTAAATACATGCTGTTGTGTTGTCTGTTTAACAGGGTCAGTACTCTAAGATCACGTTCCGCTCGCCGCTGTTTGTGGGAGGAGCTCCAGGTGCGTACTGGTTGGTGAAGGCCACTGGCACCAACCGCGGCTTCATCGGCTGCATCCAAACTCTTACCATCAACAACAAAGTGACCGACCTCCGACCCTGGCCCCTGGGACGAGCTCTGAGCGGCGGCGACATTGGTAAGACCAAGGACTAGACCAGGACTAGACTTAACAGTAAACCAGGACTAAGAATAAGAATGAACATTTGCTTTCAGTCAATGAGGAAGGACTGCTTCAAGTTTGTCATGAGAAGTTTTGTTGCAACACGAGGAACAATGACGCGCAAAACACTGCTCACGGTGATTACGGGAAGGATTCATTCATCAAAAAATCAGAGCACCTATTTTCAGACTTCAAAACCTTCGCAAAGACGGTGAAAGAAAGGCTGTTATTTTTCTGCGGCTCCAGACAGATGTTGTTTTTAGTTTTTTTGTCAAATATGGCTTTTTGAACCTTTTGGTTTCCCGACCCCTGGACTAGACCAAGGACGAGATCAGGGACTAGACCAAGGAATAGATCAGGGAGTAGACCAAGGAATAGATCAGGGAGTAGACCAGGGACTAGACCAGGGACTAGACCAGGGACTAGACCAGGGAATAGACCAGGGACAAGACCAAGGAGTAGGCCAGTGACTAAACCAGGGAATAGACCAGGGACTAGACCAGGGAATAGACCAGGGACTAGACCAGGGAATAGACCAGGGACAAGACCAATGACTAGACCAGGGTCTAGACCAGCAAGTAGACCATTGACTAGACCAGGAAGTAGTGAGAAGGCTTTGAACTGGAACTACAGGTGAAACTCAGGAAATTAGACCGTATTTTGAAATTGAATTTCTTTCTGCAATTCAACGTATAACATGAAACCAATATATGATAATTACTCATTACATATAAAGTGACAAATGCTGAGCCTTTGTTTGTTATAATTTTGATGATTATGGCTCACAGTCCATTAAAGTTTTTAAAAAATTCTAAATATCTGATGACGTTTTATTTGGGGTTTTTACAAGTTTTGAGCCAATCATCCACAATTAAACAAATAAAGGCTTGATATGTCACTTTGCGTGTAATTAGTTAATAATTATTTGTTTCACTTAAGTTTAATTACTTAATTAAATGGGGCGACAGTAGCTCAGTTGGTAGAGCATTGGCCTTTGGGCCTGAAGGTTGTGGGTTCGAGCCCACCATAAGACCTACATCACGACTCCCACTGATGACTACTGTCGTTGTGTCCTTGGGCAAGACACTTAACCCCACTTTGCCTGAAGCTCCCGCTGAAAGATCTCAGCTCCTGTGGACTCACCACCTGCAGGAGGATCAGTGAGGGGCTGGTGCTCTGTGTACTGGGTGCAGCTCTGACTGCCACCCCCCCCCCGACCCAGAAATGGATTAAGGGGAAGAAAATGGATGGATGGATGGATGGATGGATGGATGGAAGTTTAATTATAGTAGTAAACTTTTATACAATAGTCTACCTTCCTGAGTTTCACCTGTAAATCGAGCTGAGTAGACGAGTAGTGCAGCATCGGTTGCGTTCATGTGACATAAACAACATTTCAAAGAGACCATAGTGTGGTGGGAGACAAAAAAAATCTGAAAATCTTTCCTTGTAACTATGGCAACTATGAAAACTTAAAAATGTAGTCATAGTTTAGAGATAATTTCTCTGTTATTTTCTCTGCAGGTGTTAAGAAGTTGTTTGCTAGTAGAACGGATTTTCAGACATGCCAAACAGCCAGGTTTCAATTCAAATTATTTTGACATATTCCTACATTATAACAGCAGTCATCTCAGAGAACTTTACAAAGTTGTCGATTTGCCAACAACAGATCCGAGAATCAAACAGTTCACATAAGAGCCATGGTCCATAGGGAGCGGGATGACCAAATTCCATACATTATGAATGATAAATACCCCATATAAGTGTGTGTACATGTCCTAGACCCTCCTGCAAGGGTTTGTGAATCTAATCAAGTAAAGATATGAAAACAAATTTGACTGTTCATTATTAAACACTTTATAAAATTATGTTCAAATTGTTTCTTTGTTTTCCACTCATGATGAATGTGTGTGTGTGTTCAGGTGAATGTAACGACAGCGTGTGTGACCAGGTGAGCTGTGCTAATGGAGGAGTGTGCTACGCCAACCGAGCCGACGGCTACATCTGCCTTTGTCCGCTGGGCTTCAGAGGAGACCTGTGCCAACAAAGTGAGCCCTGATACACTCTCACTTTCTTCTATCGTAATCCCTTTTTTTCTCCTTTCTCCATTTCCACAAAGGACAAAATGACACAATAGCAAATCCATCCCAAATATTCAAATACATTTTTACAGCAGAGATACAAAGAGACAAACTTTGCTTATTACACGGCTCCTCACAGCAGCAGTAGAACGCTCCATTGATTTTAATGTAATTTCAAAACGTTCTACTGGTCAATATTTCTTATAACGGACCTCTCAAAACAATAATGACCGCTCCCCATGGCAACGCACTCTCTGCTTGTAATTCAGGTGTGTAGATTGCTCCGCAAGTAGTTCCGGCCACTTGCTCAATAAACGTAAATACCAATCAATCAACATAATTAAATGTTAATCGGAGAACAGGGGTTAAAAAAATACCCGGAAGTAGATACCGGGACATTTTAGGAACATTTTCAGAGGATCAAATTATGGATTTAGGTTAAGTTTATGTTTGGGTCACTCACCGCTGATGTTCAGAATTCTTTGTTCAGTTTTCATGCAGTTCGAGAGAGTTCTAGTTTGGAAGTTGCTAGCTTAACTGTTACTATCCTAGCTGGTGCTAGCCTACAGTAACTGTTACTCGCATAGCCAAGGGAAAGCCTTTGGGAACTATTTTATTTTCTGTCTAGTTTATTTTGTGTGTTCTGTTGGTACAAAGCCGTATAATAAGCAGGATAATGTATAGTACACAGGTCATTATTGGAAAATAAGTACCTTCAGGGCGCCCTGTCGGTTCTTATTTTCCGATAATGACCTGTGCACAATACATTATCCCTTACATATTGATTGTTATATTGCTAAAACCTGCTATACTGGGGGATTTAGAAAGACTCAAATAAGATACATTGATTAAAGCTTCTTGGATTAATCTAAATAATGTTTTTTGCCTGGGTATTTGTCATTAAACTTTGCTTTTACATGGGAAACACATCTAGATAGATAGATATATCATTGATGATTTAGGAAATTATAACGGTGGAGGGTCAAAACTTCTCACGGAAAAAAAAAACACTCAAAGTATAAGCGTAACTTCAGACTGATAGACTACACCCACGTCATCGCACCCGGCTGGCCTCGTCGTTCCTCAGCCTTTCACATCTTCTTCATCAACTCCCTGTCAGCCGTACCGATCAAGCCAGCACTTAAAACCTGGACACCACACACCGAACAGCCTTTCAAGTTGCAACCGCCTCCTCCCCACCTCCATCTCAGAATTTCATTGCACGCTCACATCCACCTTGCACTGTTGCCACCACCAGTGCTTAGCCCCCAGGATCATGATCTGCACTCAAGCATCAGTCCTCACAGAGCAAGGCCACAGCTTGGGCCTATGCACCAAACTGATAAACTACACACCAACACACCAACCAATAAATCTGTTTATACATCTTGTCTCTTGTAGTCTCTCCAGATTGAAACATACTGTGTCTATCACAAAAAGCAGGAGTCGGACGGGACCACTTCACAAAAAGCAGGTCACCATCAGTCGAGGAATGAACCGCTAGTTAGTAGTGTTTTTTCAGTGTATAAAACATTATATCTTCTTTCATTTCTAATAAAGTTACAACATTCTGGCCTCATCAAACACAAATTTGTTTTTGCAGTTGCGTTAGTATTATGCTCGCTAATAATCAGCACAAAATCCTCATCTCCTCCCTCTCAGAACGCTCCGTGACAAATCTACATCACAGAGCTGCTAAGATCTTTTCAGCATCCTTCTTGGGCCGTGGCACAACCTTTTTCATCCTAAACAATAACATGTCACACCCCAAGCTGAAACTGAAGAACGTGAAATGTGTAAATATTCTCAGATATGTATATTCCTGAGTACTTCTATCCAGATTATTCTATTCTCACAAATATTATCTCATTATTATTCTAATTTTTAGATTATTACTTTAACGTTATTTTTTTATTTCTTTTTAATTGTGAAATACTATACAAGCTACTGTGACAACGCAATTTCCCTTGTGGATCAATAGTATGTCTAAGTCTAAGTCTAAGTCTTTCCCTAAATCTAATCTTCTCACAATTTTTTCTTTTCATACTATTCTGACCAAATGGGGCAACAGTGGCTCAGTTGGTAGAGACTTGGCCTTTGGGCCTGACTGTCGTGGAATGCCCCCATGAGACCTACTCCATTGACTCTCACTGCTGTTGTTGTGTCCTTGGACAAGACACTTAACCCCACTCTGCCTGAAGCCCCCATTGAAAAACCATGGCTGCGTCGTTAGTGCCATTCTTTGTGAATTGGGTGGCAGCTTTGATTGCCACCCCCCAAACCCAGAACCCAAACCTAAATCCTTTTAAGGGGATGAAAATGGATGGATGGAGGTGATATTGGATCATTTGAAAAGGCACCAAAAACCATCTCAAGGCACACTAGCTGGTTGAAAAACTGGTTGTTTAAAATTAGTTTCAAACACGCATTAGTTCCATGTATTCCGCTTCAAATTGTGTTCATTAGAGCTCTGCCTCCTTAAAACATGATCCTTTGGATGTTCTATGGCTTGCATTGTAATGTCCACTAACGCCAGTAGATGGCGATAGTAACCTGGCTTTGACTGTCAGACTACTGCTTATTTTTCCAGCTGTGCACATATACAGTAACTGAAAGATTGCCTCTTCACTCTTAATTTAATGTACCACGATTAGTTATTATTTCTTCTATGTTGTTTTGTGAAGCATTCTGAGTTACCTTGTGTATGAAGTTTGCTATACAAATACACTTGCCTTGCCTGCCACTATGTGTTAATTTAGACTTCCTTGTACTTTGGCTCTGTCCCGAATTTTTTTAAGTCTGACCTGCATCTGCGTTGTGCTCCTCAGGCTTCACACTGTCCTCTCCGCTCTTCAACGTGTCGCTGCGGTCCTTCGCCTTCGTCTCGTGGCCGCAGACGTTTCATAGTTACTTGTCTTTTATGGAGTTTGAGATTACATTTTGGCCGACTGCTCCTGATGGGACTCTGCTCTACAGTGAGGACGACACCAGTGCAGACTTTGTGTCCATCAGTCTCATTGACCGATACGTGGAGTTCAGATTCGACTGTGGCTCTGGGTCCACCGTCATCAGGTATGTGCCTCTTTTAGTTTATTCAACACTAGAACTCCCAATCAGGAGCCAAGGACCAGTGCTTCTCTGAAAACAGACGTTGCATTTCCTTGTTTAAGTTTTGAGATATTTTTTCAAGCAGCTCATTACGACTGACATCACTTTAATGTTGACCAAGATCCAGAAATACCACAATGAATGTTGAGGTTAAAAATGCTGTTGTGATCCTCATTCAGCCTGTTCTCCGGTGCGTCCTCAGGAGCCTGGAGCAGATCGGGCTTGACTCGTGGCATGAGCTCAAAGTGTCTCGAACGGCAAAGAGCGGAATCCTGCAGGTGGACCAGCAGAAGACTGTGGAGGGCATTGCAGAGGTATCATTCAAGTAGTTAGAATTTTATCTGTCCTATGAATTGACAAATGCATAATACACAAGTAAGAATTTAGAAAAAACATACTGTTTTCAAATTTGGCATTAATTCCTTTATACTCATTATTAATGTCGTCACTGACCAGAGGGACCAGCAGAGGTTTTTCAACATTTGTGCCAAAACGTCTCTGCAATCCTGCTGAATCAACCATGTATCACAGATAAAAAAGAAAAAGTGTCCGTGTTACGGTGTTAGGGAAAGGAACGATTTGCTACTTGCTTTTCGACACAACAAACTGTATGAGTTGTAGACGTGCGTGAGTCCTGATGGGAGTTTGAAAGCGGCGAGTTTGAAAGCTCAAGGATCAGGGAAACACTTTAAACTTGGCTGTTTGTGAAACTGCACCACTAAAATGAATTGGACCTGAGGCATATGAGAGATTTCCCTTTGACTTTTCAAAAACAACAACAATGACCATGGTTTTGTTTACTGTTGATTTAAATGTGCTTATGGAAGATAATATTAGGTTCTTTGATATTTGGCCAGTTATAGATTGCGTGCATTATATCGATGGCATATGACCCCCTGCAATGCATTATGGTATCGTGCAAGGGGCAAATTGTCAAAGCACTTATTATTGAATGTAGAATAATAAGATTACACAAACATTCATGTATCAAACTTCAGTCCAATGAGAAGGAAAACACAATACAGCAAGGTTCAAAAAGTCTATTTTGCACAATAAGCTGTTTTGTGTGTGTCCACTAGGGGGCGTTCACTCAGATCAAGTGCAGCTCTCCTATTTATGTCGGAGGAGTCCCGGAGTACGAGCGAACCAAGAGCACAGCAGCAGTGCAGGGGCCTTTCAGTGGAGTCATACAGAGGGTACACACACACACACACACACATATGCACACACACGTATAAAGACATACACAACTGCTGCTTTAACATGTCTTTGCTCCGGTCCTCAGCTGGTGTTGAATGACCGGCCGCTGCCCCTCACACCGGGCTCCGCTGGCGGTGTGAATGTGATGAACTCAGACCATCCGTGTGTAAACAGCCCCTGCGCCAACGGAGGCAGCTGCCGAGCCAAGTGGGACAGCTACGAGTGTGACTGCCCCCTAGGGTACGACGGCCGCCACTGCCAGAAAGGTCTGAGTGAACACCATAAACATTCTTTCCCCTGAAATATGATAGTTTGAGTTATGAATATTTTACCGCTGTAATCTACTGGTGTCAATGGAAATTACAATCTAAATGCAATCTATTCAAACATGATAGAATGAATGATGAAAAGGGCTCATGTCTCTCTGTCTCTCTGCACATTTCTAAAAAACAAGTTCACAGATTCAGTCTGTCAATCTGTGAACAGAATTTAAAGCTGTAATAATGTGAAATGTCAAGACGTGAAATGATTTGTATGTGTATTGTTTGTTAGAGTATTGTATAGCCTTCTTTGGCATAATTCCAGTCTGTTGATGTTGTTTTGTTTCAAATAACTGGTGAAATAGAGTGAAAAGCGTTTGATATTTCGTTAGTTTCTTTCATTGTCTTGTACAGTGATGATCTATAGGACAAGATAAAAGGGGATAAAGCAGTCAAAATGGGTTTTTCCCTGCAAAGGTGCTTGTTCTTCAGGGCTCGTACTCCCTGCAGAGCTCAGTAGTACGGGAGGAGCGTGGAATAGAGACATTCTTCCTACACATTAAGGAGGAGCAGCTGAGGTAGTGAGAGTATAGGCATCCCTGGGGAGGGACTGTGTATCTCTGCTCAATCCCTGAAAACAAAATATCTAAGTCAAGTTTAACTTTTAAAATTGCACACAGATCATGAAATGACAAATCATGGCATATTTCTTTTATTGGAATGAAAAGTTTGTATCTGATTTTTAAAAGTGTTTGTCCTTTCTCTGTTTGAATGCTCTCAGAATGTGGGAACTATTGTCTGAATAGTAAGTTTTTTTTACACCTAAAATAAATAGCATCCATAGTTGTTTGTCAACAGAATGAGTGTACTGTTGATCCTCTCCGGTGTGCTTTTTCTGGCCTCTAGTGGAAGCTTTGTGTAATGACCTTGTGCTCTGCAGCAGTGACTGAGGCCATCGAGATCCCACAGTTCATCGGACGCAGTTACCTGACTTATGACAACAGTGACATCCTTAAACGGTAAACAATATCTAAAATTCACCTGATTCTTGCACTCTCATTCTTATTATAATATCTATTATATATATAATTGTTTGGTAAATGTTATTATGAGAAGCACTTGCAAATTGAAGTGTTTACACAATAAGTGGAAATATAAAGAAGAACATGTACAAAATCATAACTTATATAGAGAAATTATTGATACATATAATAGCATATTTATTCACCACTGCCTTAGTGGCGGGGCGACAGTAGCTCAGTTGGTAGAGCATTGGCCTTCAGGCCTGAAGGTCGTGGGTTCAATTCTCACCTCTACACCTTCTCCACCGACTCCCACTGATGACTGCTGTCGTTGTGTCCTTGGGCAAGACACTTAACCCCACTTTGCCCCAAAGCCCCCACTGAAAGATCAAGGCTATGCTTACACTCAGAGAGCAGCCGTCCTCCTGTGTACTCACCACCTGCAGAGGGTCAGTGAGGGGCTGGTGCTATGAGACTTGGAATGGATTAAAGGGTAGAAAATGGATGGATGGATGGATGCCTTAGTGGCATTGAAAGGATGTAGAGGAAAAAATGTCCCTATGGGACTACCGCCTTACTTTGAATTATTTTTGCATTCTAATTTCCCAGTCTATTCAGTCTTCATTTGGTATTATTCAGAAAAGTAACTGACAAGAATACATTAGTTTATCATCACGTTATAAAGGGAGATTTCAGACCTAATAAACTCTTAGTCAAATAACATCATGACATTTACAGTTCACATTTTGTTGCCAGAAGTGACCTGCCTGTGACACTGATTACAAGTACAATCCACCAGCTGGAATTAAGCTAGAAATATTACAATCTCTATGTACGACTACTTATTTTTTGGTACCTGATTCTTGAACATTGTACACCTAAAATTCTTTTTATTATTATTTTTTGAATAACTAATTCAGATTATTATTTGTACAAGCTATTATCTGGGCACATATATAAAAGATTTTGGAATTTGAAGTGGAAAAATAACATACTGCCCCTTTAAATCTGGGGTATACCCAACATTCAAGCCATATAAAATTTAACTATGCAATTAAATTCATATGAACCATTGAGTGTTCTACGGTTCTAGCTCATATGCATTTATTTTTTGGCCTCTGTCAAATCAACTTTTTCAAACAGAAAAGTATAAGTAAGAGGCCCATCCTTACTCAGCCAATCAGCTTTCAACCTAAAACATGCAGAATACAATGTGTTATTATAAAATGTAGCCTTTTTCTGTTGTGTTTGTACACATGTTATTGATGAAAGAAAAATCCTAGCTTGAATAGATTGTAAAGTGTGCTCCTTGTGCCTTCAGGATGTCGGGCTCACGCACAGCTCTGTTCATGCGTTTCAAGAGCTCTGCCACAGACGGCCTCCTGCTGTGGAGAGGCGACAGTCCCATGAGAACCAACAGTGACTACATGAGTCTGGGGCTGCGGGACGGAGCTCTGCACTTCAGGTACAGAGGCAAACGTCACCTCACACTGCCCCCATCATGGCATTTTGACAGCTTTTAGTTTTGTCAATAGGAGCCAGAGCGGGTAAGATATCTCGACTCTGAACATTGTAAAGAGCTTTGAGTGACCTTGGTGTCTAAAATGCGCTCTATATATACATTACTTACTTAGTACTGGGCTTCATTGAGCTAGGTGTCATTGTCCATCTATAAACAGTCTATGGTACTGAGAAACCAGATGTGGATCTTTGTGACAGTTTTTGTATCACTTTGAGATGTACTCAAAGGCTCGGGTCCTGCTTCGGGTGAACCCGCTGGTTCCGTCCACCGAGCTCCTTCTCCGAGGCCACTCTTCGCCCCGACCACTCTGATTATTGGAGATTCCATCGTGAGACACGTCCGCTTCTTTAACGCGGTCACTCGCTGTATTCCCGGAGCTACTGTGCCAGACCTGCTCATACGTCTCCCTCCTCTGCTTCAGTCCCTGCCTGATACCGTTTCCAAGGTAGTCGTGCATGTGGGAATTAACGACATGAAACTTCAGCAGTCAGAAGTCACTAAGAAACATTTTATGGATCTGTTCCACCTCCTTCAATCCTCCGGATTATCTGTTTTTATTTCTGGTCCAATCCCGACTGTAAACAGAGGTGACTGCCTCTACAGTCGTGTTGTGGCGCTGCATATGTGGCTCCAGGCTACATGCAGCTCTTTTAACTTTGTCTTTGTGAATAACTTTGCCCTTTTCTGGAAACGTTACGAAGCCTATCGTCCAGACGGATTACACCCAAACAGATACGGTAGCAGCCTGTTGATGGATTACATACGTTATGTTGTTCAGCGTTCCCCGAGGGGGGCGTGACTGTTTACATCTGAGCCCCCTCGGACCCCACCGCACTCCCCCGCCTCCTGCTCACCAGCACCGGGTGAGTACAACGGTGCAAACACTGCTCCCTGTCCGTCTGGCAGTGCATTACCAGTCCAAACACTGAACTGTGCTGACTCCCTTCTGACTCTGGGAGCTAAAGAACAACAAGGGTTTTCACATTTTAGGCCAATTGAGACTGTGTGTGTTCCTCGCACCAGCTCAAAAATGTTTTTAAATTCTAAAAAACGAAATCAAAACAGGACAGCAGTTAGACGGTCCAACCCTGCAAATCTAATTTCTGTTCCCTGTAGAAATCAATCAACCACATTAATCGACTCTGACGTTATTTTTAAACTTGCTATGCTTAATGTCAGATCTCTATGTAACAAATCATTTTTAATTAATAATTTTATCACTTCTTATGATCTTGATTTTATGCTTATGGCTGAAACATGGCTGGACCAAAATACAGGAAATGCAGTTCTAATAGAAGCAACACCACCCAATTTTAAATTCGAATCCGAAATACGAGAAAACAAAAGGGGGGGAGGCATAGCTGCAGTTTTTAGAGAGCACTTTGTCTCCCATAGAATGCCCCTTGGAAATTTTTCATCGTTTGAGTATATTTCTTTTAAAATGGAACAAAAGCAATCTTCTACTCTTTTCATTGTCCTGTACAGGCCACCACAGTCATGTTGCGATTTTATTGACCATTTTACTGAACTACTTTCATTCGTGTGCACAGATTTTGATAGTTTAGTTATTACAGGTGATTTTAATGTACATGTTGATAATGTTGATGACAGAAATGCAAAGGAGCTGGCTTCTGTATTTGAGACCTTTGGTTTCATTCAGCACGTGAGTGGCCCCACCCACAGCAGGGGGCACACTCTTGACCTGCTAATTACAAAGGGGGTTAATGTATCAAATGTTAATGTAGTTGATGTTGCTTTGTCAGATCATTTCTGTGTATTTTTTGACATGTGTTTTGCTAGCAAACCACCAGCTGAATTTACAACTGTTAGAAGAAGACACATACATGAAAACACAAGTGAACTGTTCATGGGAATGCTAAATTTTGAGAAAACTCCATGCTCTACTGTTGATGAATTGTATAACTCTGTCACCACCAGTGTTCTGACTGTTCTGGACGCCATTGCTCCTGTGACGGTTAAAATAGTTACCAGTAAGAAAAAGGCCCCATGGACTAAGGCAGACTCGGTTAGGGCACAGAAGCAAGAGTGCCGGAGGGCCGAACGGAAGTGGCGAAAGTCCAATTTCCAGGGCGATTATGAAATCTTTAAAGATGAGTTGGGTGAATTTAACCGGGTTCTACGTAGAACAAGAGAAATGTATTTTTCTGACATTATTGGAGGTTGCAGTAACAATTTTCGTGTTATGTTTTCAACAGTTGGTAGATTAACGAACCCCCCTGTAAAGTTGCCCCCTAGAATTGCCCCTCTAAATCTAGGTGTAATGAGTTCGCACAGTTTTGGTCATGTTAGATCTTAGTGCCGCGTTCGACACTGTCGACCATGAGATCCTCATGCAGAGACTGGAGGACTGGGCTGGTGTCACTGGCACAGCCCTAGACTGGTTTAGGTCTTACCTGGAGGATAGGAAGTACTCTGTGGAGATTGGAGACTGCGTCTCAGATGATGTGGCCCTGACCTGTGGTGTACCACAGGGGTCGATCCTGGGACCTCTCCTATTTAATCTCTACATGCTGCCGTTAGGTCAGTTAATACAAAGAAACAAAGTGTCCTACCACAATTACGCTGACGACACTCAGATCTATGTCTCACTGACTGCAGGAGAACATGGACCACTGGATTTGCTCCTTCACTGTATCCAACAGATCAGTGACTGGATGCAAAATAATTTCCTCCAGCTAAATACAGACAAAACCGAAATCATTGTCTTCGGTCCCCAGAAACAAAGAGAGGGCGTCATTTGTCAACTTCAGTCTCTCTCTCTACTTCCTTCAGACAAGGTCAGAAATTTGGGGGTAATACTGGACTCAGACCTAAATTTCAATAGCCACATAAAATCAATAACATCAACAGCTTTTTACCATCTGAAGAACATTGCCAAAGTTAGAAATATAGTGTCCAGGGCAGACTTGGAGATTCTTGTCCATGCATTTGTCTCCAGCAGGCTAGACTACTGCAATGGCCTGCTTACAGGTCTGTCCAAACAGACCTGTAAGCAGCTGCAGTACATCCAAAATGCAGCAGCTAGAGTCCTGACAGGAACCAGGAAGTATGACCATATTAGTCCGGTCCTCAGGTCTCTGCACTGGCTTCCTGTGGCTCAAAGAATAGATTTTAAAACGGCTCTGCTTGTGTACAAGTCTCTCCATGGCCTTGCACCCAGAATACATTAGTGACATGTTGGTGTCATATGAACCAGCCCGGACTCTGAGGAGCACAGGGACTGGCCTCCTGCTGGTGCCCAGAGTGAGAACCAAACATGGGGAGGCTGCGTTTCAGATCCATGCAGCTAAGATCTGGAAACAATCTCCCTGAAAATGTGAGGGAGGCGTCTACTCTGTCAATGTTCAAATCCAGGTTAAAGACTGTTCTGTTTAACTGTGCATACAACTGAAGGATTTTATCTCCATTTTTAATGCACTGCTGTCATTTATTTATTTATTTAAATTTCTTGTGTAATTTTGAAAGTTTTAATGGTTTTATTCTTTTGTGTGATTTTAATGTTTTAATTGTGTTTTAATCTTTTGTGTGATTTTAATGTTTTAATTGTGATTCTGGTGTTTGTTTTATGTGATGATTTGTGATGTGGACTGTGAAGCGCTTTGTGTTGCCATGTGTATGAAAGGCGCTCTACAAATAAACTTTGATTGATTGATTGATACTTAAAATGCAAGGTGCAATATAAAAATAAATTGTATTACTATTATCAGTGCTTAATATAATGAAATAAACACGAAACGCTTAGTAACAGGTGCCCTCTAGTGGCTGGTTGAGCTCATCACACATGTCTGTTTGGTTTCAGTTATAACCTGGGCAGTGGTCCTGTGAACATTGTGGTCAACGGAACTTTCAATGACGGGAAATGGCATCGAGTCAAAGCTGTGAGGTATGACATTTGGGAATCAGAAAACTCAAATCTATTCAGAATAGCAATGTTAACCCCGTAGCACCCTCGGTTACAAATATGCATCAGAAAGTTCAACGGTTTTAGTTTAATGCATTAACTAGTTTATGTACCCAAGAACCCAAAGAAGCTAATATACTACGTTGCCAAATTTGGTCATTGAATGCTACTTCCCAAAATTAGCACAGATCATTTTTTTCAACAAATATTTTTATGCCTTGGTTCTATGGGATTAAAAATACATAAAAATTCATTGTAAGGGAGTTCAATAATGTGTCTTTTGCTTTGTGATTTTGCCACTGCTCACGTTTTTCTTTGCGTCGGTGCAGAGACGGACAGTCTGGCAAACTGACAGCGGACGATTATGGGGCCAAAACAGGAAGATCTCCTGGAAAAATGAGACAACTCAATATTAATGGGCCTCTGTACGTGGGTAAGTAACACCTTCACTGACAGATTTGAATCGAAATTCTGCAAAACACATCCAAACATCTTTCTCTACTTACTGAGGTGTGTCAAATTTACTGCAAAGTCTTGTCTTGACTTCTTAAACGATGCATCAATCTTTATTAAGTCTTGCATTGTTTTCTCTATTTCTATTTTTTTCGCACATTTAGCCAAAGCTAATTTAAAAAAAATCAGTCACACTGGTTATAAATGCCTCAAATTATATCCCGTGATTTGTCCAAATTAGAAAGTGCACATTATACTCAAATAAACCCTGACATATTTACGATATTTTCAGATTCATATATCAATATTTGAGGTCTACATAAAAAAAAAAAAAAAGTTATAAAATAGTGTATACTGGTAACCAACCTAGACAATAACACAATTGGTACGACAACACTGGAGTAATGACACCAACATGGTAAAGATAAGAAATCACAAAAAATCTCTGATCTTAGTTTGAGTTCATTTTTGTGTGCACCTAAAACCTCCTCATTTGCACAGAGACATATTTCTCGTTTTTAATTCAAAGCGATTCAGTAATTCTTTTGTGGCATTTGGTTACATTTTGGGCTTGTGCTGTGTCATAAACATTTTGTGTGTATGATGATTCCAAAATGGTCAAGACTTCAGTCATTCGTTTATGTGTTTGCTTGAATAATAGAAAAACATAATTAAAGTAAATCAACATTTTAATCAAAATGTAATTTAAATGAACTAAAATAAAATAGAGATAAAATCATATTAATGCTACTAATAATACTAATATTACTAACAATTATAATAAAATAAAATACATGAAATTCAGCAAAACATACACCCTCATTCCTTATTAATCACTTTCTTCTCCCCACACACATTATAGTTTTTGGTATGCCCTTAGTCTGTAACTATGGATCTCTGGTTAGGTGGCAGTTTCCAGATGCCCAGGCTGTGAATACACGATTTGAGCCGTTTTCAGATGGTGATTGTGTGTTTCCGCAGGAGGCATGCGTGAGGTGGCCCTGCACACCAACAGACAGTACGTGGGGGGACTGGTGGGCTGCGTGTCCCACTTCACTCTGTCCACAGACTTTCACCTGTCGCTGGTGGAAGACGCCAACGACGGCAAGAACATCAACACCTGCTCCATATAAAACACACACACTCACCTACACATACACGCACACACACACGCACACACACAAACACACACACACACACACACACACACACACACACACACACATACACACGGACCTTTGGTAAAGAACTCGGCACATCCAGAGCGGGACTGACTGTGACGCTGCAGCAAAGAGTGACTCAAAGACACATGTGGAGCGTTGAGAGGAGACGAATCGTTCAAATTCTCCACAGACATGTTCTTGTTTAGCCTGGAATGTTTCACCAAATGTCACCACACTGCAAAAAAGTGATGAAAAATAAGTCAATAACTGCTAAAATTTGACATGTATCTAAATTTGAGCACATTATTGTCAATGGGATGAGAAGGAATATCTTGTTTTGAAAAAGATACAAGAAATGTCTCTCTTAGAATGAGAAAATAGTTTTTGAAATAAGGCTCAATGGTTTTGTCCCTTCGGCAAATTTTGTTTACAGACACTCAGAATGTACTCAAATTAGAATAAAAAAAAAAACACCTGATTTAAGCAATTATTACCTCATATTAATCACTTTTTGCAGTAAAGTTATTTCAATTTTTAAAAAAGTAGCAATCCAGCAATACTAGAATGTCTTGTACTGCAAAACTGTGCTATCTTGTCAGGCTTAAAATGACTTGATTATTGGTATTTGAGATTGATTTACTTCCTTGAAAACCTTGTTTACTAGAAACTTTAACTTGAAAACCATCAAAACATCTAGAACAAGTCAAATAATCTCTTAATCTTCTTTCCCGGGTGAGGGTCTGCGTTTCGCTTTAGTCATGTAAATGTCTATTGTGAGATCAATAAAGATTGTCTTGTTTTTTTTTTTTTGATTAAATTAAATGATATTCTTGTATACTGTAGCCCTAGATCAGTAGTTATCTTGGAGGACTATACACAACTGTTGAATTTGCCAACACAGATCAGAGAATCAAACACAAGACATAAAACAGAAAACCCATTGGTATTGGTCCATAAGAGGCAGACGACCAATGTCTATAAATGTTGTTGAGTATTGAGAAAAAGACTACAGTTTGACAATGAAAACGGACTAAAGCAGCAAAATAAAAATATCCAGTCATTTCAAGCCTGAGAACAACATCTTAGTCAACATTTCAAAATAGACCATCACTGAAAATGAAAATTGATCTGAAAAATTGTTTATTTTAAAGGTGATGTCAATAACTTTAACTTCTTTTTTTTTTTAAAGCCTGGTTCACACGAGACGATTTTAAAATTGTCGGCCGATAAAAAAAAAATCATGGGTCTAACCACTTTGGTCGTACAGTGTGTGGTGCGCAGCCCATCCATCCATCCATTTTCTTCCGCTTTATCCGTTGCCGGGTCGCGGGGGCAGCAGTCTAAGCAGAGACGCCCAGACTTCCCTATCCACACACACCTCCTCAAGCTCGTCCGGGGGGACCCCTAGGCGTTCCCAGGCCAGCTGAGAGACATAGTCTCTCCAGCGTGTCCTGGGTCTTCCCCGGGGCCTCCTCCCGGTGGGACGTGCCCGGAACACCTCCCCAGGAAGGCGTCCAGGAGGCATCCTGAACAGATGCCCGAGCCACCTCAACTGGTTCCTCTCGACGTGGAGAAGCAGCGGCTCTACTCCGAGCTCCTCCCGTGTGACCGAGCTCCTCACCCTATCTCTAAGGGAGCGCCCAGCCACTCTGCGGAGGAAGCTCATTTCGACCGCTTGTATCCGCGATCTCGTTCTTTCGGTCATTACCCACAGCTCATGACCATAGGTGAGGGAGGGAACGAAGATTGACCGGTAAATTGAGAGCTTTGCCTTTCGGCTCAGCTCCCTCTTTACCACAACGGTCCGATACAGAGACCGCATCACTGCGCACGCTGCACCGATCCGCCTGTCAATCTCACGCTCCATCCTCCCCTCACTCGTGAACAAGACCCCGAGATACTTGAACTCCTCCACTTGAGGAAGGACCTCTCCACCCACCTGGAGAGGGCAAGGCACCTTTTTCCGGTCAAGCACCATGGCCTCGGATTTGGAGGTGCTGATTCTCATCCCAGCCGCTTCACACTCGGCTGCAAACCGTCCCAGTGCATGTTGCAGGTCCTGGTTCGTTGGAGCCAGCAGGACGACATCATCCGCAAAAAGTAGAGATGAAATCCTGTGGTTCCCGAACCGGACCCCCTCCGGCCCCTGGCTGCGCCTAGAGATTCTGTCCATAAATACAGTGAACAGAACCGGTGACAAAGGGCAGCCTTGGCGGAGGCCAACATGCACCGGGAACAGGTCTGACTTACTGCCAGCAATGCGAACACAGCTCTGGCTCCGGTCATACAGGGACCGAACAGCCCTCAGCAGAGGACCCCGGACCCCGTACTCCCGGAGGACCCCCCAAAGGACACCCCGGGGAACGCGGTCGAACGCCTTCTCCAAATCCACAAAGCACATGTGGACAGGTTGGGCGAACTCCCATGAACCCTCGAGTATCCGATGGAGAGTATAGAGCTGGTCCAGTGTTCCGCGACCGGGACGAAAACCACACTGCTCCTCCTGAATCCGAGATTCGACCATCGGACGAAGCCTCCTCTCCAGTACCTTGGAGTAGACCTTACCGGGGAGGCTGAGGAGTGTGATCCCACGATAATTGGAACACACCCTCCGGTCCCCCTTCTTGTAGAGAGGGACCACCACCCCGGTCTGCCACTCCATTGGCACCGCCCCCGATCGCCACGCGATGTTGCAGAGACGTGTCAGCCAAGACAGTCCTACAACATCCAGAGACTTTAGATAGTCAGGACGGATCTCATCCACTCCCGGCGCCTTGCCACCATGGAGGCTGCCAACCACCTTGGTGACCTCGGCCAGGGAGATGGAAGTATCCGCCCCAACATCCTCAGCCTCTGCCTCCTGGACGGGGGACGTGACGGGGGGATTGAGGAGAACCTCGAAGTATTCCTTCCACCGCCCGACAATATCCCCAGTCGAGGTCAGCAGCCCTCCACCCGCACCATACACGGTGTTGGCAAAGAACTGCTTCCCCCTCCTGAGGCGCCGGACGGTTTGCCAGAACCTCTTCGAGGCCGACCGATAGTCATGCTCCATGGACTCTCCGAACTCCTCCCAGTCCCGGGTTTTTGCCTCTGCAACAGCCCGGGCCGCGGCACGTTTGGCCTGCCGGTACCTGGACAGCTGCCTCAGGAGTCCCACGAACCATCATTGCTCGATAGGACTCCTTCTTCAGCCTGACGGCATCCCTTACTGCCGGTGTCCACCACCGGGTTCGGGGATTGCCGCCGGGACCAGCACCAGAGACCTTGCGACCACAGCTACGAGCCGCCGCATTGGCGATAGAGGAAGAGAACATGGTCCACTCGGACTCGATGTCCCCCTCCTCTGCCGGGACCTGGGAGAAGCTCTCCCGGAGGTGTGAGTTGAAAGTCCGTCTGACAGGGGGCTCAGCGAGACGTTCCCAGCAAACCCTCACTACACGCTTGGGCCTGCCAGGTCTGACCGGCCGGTCCCACTCGAATAAACATATACAAATAAATAAATAAATAGGCAAACTCAAAGAATGCCGGTACCAGATTTTTCTTAACAGAGGGTAAGTGGTTTTCTCCGAGGCAGATGTGGAAGCGGATAGACCAGGATAATGAGCTGGACACTCCGAGGCCACTGGAGACGACGAGGAAAAACAAAAACACGGGTAAGTAACACTGGATACAGGGTACTTTGGCAGAAAGTAATCAAAAAGGTAGGCTTAGGAACTGTTGAGAGATGTTACCCTTGGTTGCATTGAGAAAAAAGAAGAGGAGTGGGTAGACCAGGAGGAGCGGAGGGAGGAGTTGCAACAGTAATAAAATTTGCCTTAAAGGAGCCAGTTATGTGAAAATCGTGCCAAAAGTTGCACTGCACATTCCTGGCTCATGTTGTTCAGATATGCATGACGAATCCAGCTGGACCACATTTTGAATAGACAAGAGTTTTTTATCAAAAAGGAAATCTATAACAAACGACCTTTTTTTCTAAGATATCAATCGTTGATGATTACAGAATCAAAACAAAACCTTTTTTAGTTCTGCTGCCTGTTACTTTTCCAGAGAGATTAGCTTAACTCGGTGAGTTCTGGCAACCCAAATCACAGACTTTCGTGATCGTAAAACGGTTGAGGCGGACATCGAATGGAAAACAAAGAACAGACAAGAAAAGAAACATGCTTGTCAATAAAAGAAAGAGCACATTATAATAACACAATGGATCCGGACAGCGATAAGAGAAGGCAATATTAACATAATAAACACGGTCAGCACGGAAAGTAGTGTCAGTGTGGCCAGCATAACAGTCCAAGGGCCCATGCCGGTCTTAGCCGGGCTACGTTCGGTAGTCTTTTCCGCGGGAATACTCACGAGCAGTGCCGTCTCGCAGTCAGTGGCACCGCTCCCTATGAGCGTGTGTGGAGCGTTAGTGGTCATGGCGATGTTTGGTCTTGGAGCGGCAAGACTCTAATTGCGTTGAAGCCTTGGCCTCAGCACTCGGTTGGGCAGAGTGCTCGGGGTTTGGGGTGTGGAGACCATGGCTTGAGCACGCTCCAGATCGGCCAGGCCCAAAGCTCGTTTGATGGGAGACCTCATGACAGCACGCTTCACCATGTGCCTCATCAGGAACTGTAGAGCAGCCCTCATCTCCACCTCCTCCGGACACACGGGAGACGAGACACCAGGGGGCACTCCAGCAGAGCTCAAATCTGCATTATGGCCAGAGGGAGCAAGCTCTGGAGAAATCTTTGGAATGGGCAGCAGCTCTGCATACTTGCTGCAGCTGAGCAGAGCGCTCAGGGCCTTCATGGCTCCCAAGCCTTGGGATCCGGGGGCTGGGGAGTTGGGCAAAGGGGGGTCGCCTCGGGAACGCTGGGATTCTCTGGGTGTTGTTGTTGGCCTGCTTCACCGACGGTGGTCGCACGCCGGCCGACTTCTTCAGCGTAGGGAGCCGCGGATGGGCCTGGTCCGTCCGCGCCCTCGGT